GTAATTTTTAAAGGCTGGGAAGCCCAGAGAAACTTCTCCCAGATTTGACTGAGTCAGTTCCAACATCCGCAGAGGTCCAGACCCCCGTCCACTGAGGTTCTAGGAAGGTAGGTCAAGCACACCCCACAATGGGAGGTTGGGGGTGGATGGACAACTCAGTGCAGGAGGGACCTGGTTCTTCCCAGAGACAGGGAAACTTCTAGAACTATGGACTTAAAGAAACAGATAGACTTAGTATCAGACATGGCCTCTTTTTCCAAGGCCCACATCTGGATGGTAGTAAAGGAACTGAGGTAGCATAAGGCTCAGTGTCACAGGCAGTGGAGAGGGTCATCAATGGACTTCATATTCCATCAGGTTTATGAACCAGAACAGTTGAGGGAGTGGTAGGTGAGGAGGAAGCCATAGCCAGTGTGGGCTTCCTGCTAAGGGAACAGGAAAAAACAAACAAGTTATCTAAAGAGATGACAAAGTCTTGGACAGACAAAGCTTTCCATGAACAAACAAAGTCCAAACCCCTAGACATACATGACAGGGAAGCTGCACCCACCAACTCTCAACACTATGATCATAGAGAAGGCAGCATAACCACAACACCAGTTGACTTGCCAACAAGGACAGGAGAAATTCCACAAGATTCTGCCCCTAGGTGAAAAGTTCCAGGTGACCAATGGTTGGTGAGAGATTGGGGGGGGGGGGTGGTCCATTTCCTTTAGGAACCATCTCCCACATAGGTTGTCCAATTCCAAGTGGTCAGATATGGACATGTCCATATAAGCAACCCTAAATGGACTTGGTAGGTTGTACACACACACACACACACACACACACACACACACACACACACACACACTTACTTAAAGAAGACAACAAACAAAACCAGCTTGCTATCCTGTCCAGTGGCCTACCTTTAATAACTTTTTCATATGGTCATAGAGCTCCCAAAATGGTTATTTTTCTTGCTTCAGTTTTAAAATGTGAATAACCAAGGGCTCAAGAGGAATAAGAAACAAACAATAAAGACATCTCAGAAGGAACATATTTGTGCATCAAGACCTTATAAAAATTAAAAGGATCTTTTAAAAACTCAAAATCAATAAGCTTTCAGACCTTAAGAAAACTTCAAAATGCAGGCATAAAAATTTATAAAGTCATCTACCATTTCAACATCCCGAAGGAGAAAAACATACAAGAATCTTAACAGATGTGGCAAAATTTGCTAAAATTCAACGTCCACTCATGATTTTTAAAAGTACTCAGCAAACTAGAGCTCTGTAAACAAAGGCACTTGTTTACTGAGGAAATGGTAAGGAAATTAAGTTTGGTGCCACTTGCTATCAAGGTGGCTGTCATATGTCAGATGGTGCTGATAAGGTTTTTAAATATAAAAATAAATGAATGTTTGGTATAAGGTTTTAATAGGAAGCAGCAATTGTTGGGGTTATTGCCAGATATAAGTTAGTCCTGTGTACGGGTTGGAAGGGTCAGTAATGGAGACCTTGTCTAACGTTTGCGAGGCCCTGAGTTCTGACAGCAAACTTGAAGAAAAAAATAAATGACGGTACCACAAACATCAAAAACAAGACAAGACAGAAACAAAAAAGCTACAACTGAAAGGAGATATTTATAGCATATGCATCTTATAAATCAGTGTCCATGTGTGAAAAAATAATTCATAGAAATCAATAAGAAATGGACAAAATCACTCAATGTAAATTGATCAATGTACATGTGCAGAAAAGAATATAAAAAAAACATTTTATTTAAGACAACTGAATTCCACTACTTATGAGGAAAAAGCAATGAGAAACTATTTTAGGGTCATGGAAATGATTCAGATGGTAAAGGGGCCTGCCCAGTGACACCTGGGACTCACTTAAAGGTGGAAGGAAAGAATAGACTCACCAAGCTGTCCTCAGGCCTCCCCATGCACACAGTGGCATTCACATGCACACACACACACACACACACACAAAACACATTTCTAAAGAAACTATATTATATCTATCAGAATCACTAAAATATAGAAAAGTCCAACATTAACCTGAGCTGCAGAGTATGGCTACTATGAAAGGAAAGAAAAAGGGAGGGAGAGAGGGAGGGAGGGAGGGAGGGAGAGAGGGAGGGAAGAAGGGAGGTTGTCAAGTGAGTTGGCGCACATACCTTTAATCCCAGTGCTGGGGAAGAAGATAGATCTCTAGGAGCTCAAGATTAGTTTGATCTACACAGTGAGTTCCAAAACAGCCAGAGCTATGCAGAGAGACCCTGTCTCAAAACAAAACCCAAACCCAAAACAAACAAAAAGGAAGCAATAAGTCAAGTCATAGTATATTCATTCAATAGAATATTATATAATCATCAAATGTCCCAGAGCTAAATCATCATACCGATAAATCTCAAAGTATCCTAGTTCAGGCAAAGCTGAAGACCATAGTATGTAGGTTAGCATCATTAAGGTGAAAATTGAAGATGTGCCAAACGTGAAAACACATATAAAGATGTAAAACACATTTATTGAGTAGCTTTATTGTTTGATAAAGTAGAACAAGGAATAAAGTCAGGAAGAGATTACACATAGGTTTCCAACATTATCTGTTGTATTTGACAATGCTTAAAAAATTTAATCAAATAGAACAAAGAGTAAAAGTTTCATGAAACTGACTGAAGTGTCTGAAGCTGCCCTCCACACCTTGGTTCTGAATATCCTGGAGTTTGGAACAACTCCATGGCTGGTGGGACCCCTGGGTATAACCTCGTAGAAGTAGGCACTGTTTCACTCATGGCTCCAACTGTCTACTTACCAGAGTTGGTACAGAATAGAAAATCAGTTTGCCAAATGCAGCAACATATGAAGAGGAAGAGGCAGTGAGAAACATTACAACACAGTGGGTTCCAGAAGAGCTGATCAAAACAGCTACCACTGGGTTCCAGGGACCAGCCCATCGTCTGCAGCTGGCAGGAACTACCTCATGTGGTCCTTGCAGCACTGTCAGGGACAACTGTCACCCTCATCCTACAGCGACCACAGGGCTTCATGCTACAAAGCCAACCTCAGAGAATAGAAGTTACAACTGAATCTGAGTTTCACCAAAAAAAAAAAAAAAAAAAAAAAAAATCTGTATTTTAAGATATCAGTGGCTCCAAACTATTGAAATAAACAAGACAGAAACTGTCCAATGAGTTTATAGAAGAGGCTAGTTAGATAGCTACTCTAAAATCACACCCAGGACCAGATGGAGGGTGGTGCCCAGCACATGAGAGGCAGCAAGTGCAGGAAGCACACATCGAGGAATAGGGAGGGCTTCAGCAACGAGGTGATGTTTGAAGCGGGTGTTGAGGAAGTACAGGCAGATAGATGTCAGGACCCAGCTCTTTCTGGTCCACACGCCCCTGATGGTGCTGGGAAGATCCATGGTTGTGGCCTGTGAGCACAGAACTTGAGCAAGCTCACAGAACTGTGGCCACAGACACACATGTAGATAGATAGAGCTGATTTGTATATAGCCTCCAATTTGAGAAAGTTTACTCTTTTATATAGGGGGGGGGAATATCCTCTTTAGAATGCATGATACCAGCTGAATGTGGTGGCCCAAGCCTGTAATCCCAGAGCCTGGGAGTGTAAGACAGGAGGATCTTGAGTTCAAAAGCAGCCTGTGCTGCATAGTGAAGCAGTATCACAAAACTATGAGGGTGTGTGTGGTGGATGGGGGTGAGAATATAACTTCCTACTCTTTAGTAGTAACTCCCATTCACTGGGGAGTTTTTGTATCCAGGGTACTGGGTAAAGTCTTTGTATGTTTTATTAGCTTTAATTCTCACCTGTGAGGCAGGTACAGTTTTGACCCCTTTCAAGGATGAGGAAGCCCAGGTTACAAACCGTGTGAACAGTCTTGGGGGCCAGGAAGCAGGGACACAGACAGAAGACTCAGTTGTCAGCTCCCAGTGCATGTGTTTAACCGCTGCCTCTCATAAGCAGCCAGCCAATTAAGGCAACAAGGGTTTAATTGTTTTCAATTGGAAGGATAAATGAGAATGTGATACAAGCACCGTGCATGGAAATCAAGCTATCATTACCTTCATGAACACCTGTCACATGGTCCAGCTCCATAAATGCTTGTGAAATGAGGTGGCATTTACCTCTAGGAAATGGGAACCAAATGGCGTATTTCCCTGGTGCAAAGCAATGGAAACTCGCAGGAGGCCAATGGGACACACTGACCTTCCCAAACTTCCGGAACACCTCAGATAGGCTCTGGTTCCTGTGGAACCTCTATTCGGAACAAGCCTCCTTCCTCTGTGATAAGCTGAGCCAGGACACACACACGGGGGGGGGGGGGGCACGGTGCTCCTAATCCCTTACCAGCGACAAAAGCCATTCTAGTCAGGTCAGGAGTGAGTGCCAGGAATTGGATGTCCCTGGGGTGGGGATGGGAGCTCCCGTGTGTCCTAGCTCAGCCCATCACAGGAGGCTTGCCCTGAAATTCGTCGCTGCGTCAGATTCCAGTGTCCTCTAAACAGCCTACAGAACAGACTCAAAATGAGAACAAAAAAGAACGGACACCAATTTCCCTTCAAATAGAAAGGGACAAGAAGACCAGCGTTTTCCTGGGAAAAGCCATCATTTCTGGGATCTTGGGTTCGTTCTATGCAGGTGTTCCTTCAACAAATGTTACCCAACCCTTGCTGGGTGAAGAAGAGGTCTTGCCACCTATGAGGAGGGTCCTCAAACTCAGAAACTAAGAAAGAGCTCCTCTCTCCTGTGGGCACCCAGCGCCTCAGGGTACGACCAGATGAGCCAAACACAAGCCAAGTTTCCTTCCCCCACCCTACTGGAAACTAACAACAGAGAAGGAAACCGAGGCCACACTAGCAAGCAATAGCGCTTTAGAAAGGGCACTTCTGAGGAGAAGGGAAAAGGAACCCTGAAAGAATGAACTGAGGAAGAAAGAGCAGGGGAGAGAACAGGCATGGGAAAAGGAGGGGAGCAACATCCTGACTGGATTCTCCCAGGAGCTCCATCCACAATGCCCTAGTCACGTTTTAATTAGTTACATGATTTTTCCATTGCCTTATACAAGAGCCTCTCTCTGATTAATGTTCGAAACAGCTGGCCGATTTTAATCATGGTAAACACGATGATCCCGGCTACGACTGCCTGAGCTACTAAAAGCAGAATATAAAGACCCCAGTAGACGCTATGATCGGGACCTTCACCCCTGGCCACCAGCTGGACCCACGCGCGGGTTTGCGAGCTATTAGGCAGCTGGGACCGGACCAGGGCTTCCAGGGTGTTCTCCGTTGGAGGGTTGAGAGGCAGGCCTCGTGGGTGCGGGCACCACGGGTCACCCTGCAGCAGGTCCCAAAACGACAGGCCTGCGCGTGGCTCTGGGCTGTGGCACTGCGGGGCCTCGTCTCGGCCCAGGAGGTCCTGATGCAGTCGCAGCCACTCGAGGAAGGGCCACAGGCCACAGTCGCAGAGCCAGGGGTTGTGACCCAGCAGGACCTGAGTCAGCTGGGGCAGGGCCGCGAACACGTCTCCAGGCAGCGTCTCCAACTGGTTGTGCTCCAGCTGCACCGTCTCCAGGCTGCTGAGGTTGAGGAAGAGCGCGCGGGGCAGGGCCCGCAGACGGTTGTGGCGTAGCGACACCTGGCGCAGGCTACCGAGACCGTGCAGCGCGTCCTCTGGAAGCTCCGCCAGGGCGTTGGAGTGCAGCGCAAGCACGCGCAGCTTCGCCAGCCCCTGGAACGCGCGGCGCGGGAGCGCGCCCAGGCGCGGGTTCCGCGTCACCCCCAGCGTCTGCAGACCGCTCAGGTTGCGGAAGACAGCGGGGGGCAGCGTGCGCAGCTGGGTGTTGTTCAGCCACAGCTCCCGCAGACCGGCCATCTCTCCGAACAGCACCTCAGGGAGCTCCTCCAGAGGATTCTCGAACAGGGTCAGTCGAGTCACGCTGATCGCACAGAGGAACAGCGCTGGTGGCAGAGACTCCAGGCGGTTTCTGGACAGAGTCAAGGAGCTCAGGTTTCCGAGGCTGTCGAAGGCACCGGCTGCGACGGAACGGAGGTGATTCCGGTCCAGCCGCAGCTCAATCAGGGAGCCCAGGTTGCTCAGAAGCCCCGAATCCACAGATGCGAGCTGGTTTGAGTAGAGCAGCAGTGTCTCAAGCTTAACCTGCGCCCCAAGCAATCCTTTGGGCAGGTGGGTCAGGTTGTTTCCCGATAAATCCAACACCTTCAGCTTCCCCAGGCTTGTGAAAAGGTTAGCAGGAAGAAAAGAGAGCTGATTCTGGTTCAAACAGAGCTCTTGCAGGTTAAGCAATTTCTGAAACAGGTTTTGGTCTAGGTCCCTTAGCACATTGTGGTCCAAGAACAACTGTTCCAAGAGCACCATCTTATCCAGCAGCGCATTTGGAAGATGAGAGATTTTGTTGCGCGTCAACCTAAGGGTTTTTAGTTTTATCAGGTCATTGAAGGTGCCTGGTTCGATGGCGGAAATGTGGCTGTCTGAGATCATCAGGCGCTGCAGGACCGTCATGCCACTGAAACTGTGGTTCCGCAATTCGCCCATTCGGTCCATTCGGAAGAGCAGAATGTGTGTGAGGTTCGTGGGTAGACCCAGCGTGGCGATTCGAGCCACACTGCCACCAGAGCACTGCGCAGCATCGCGAACCACACACCTGCACGTTTTAGGACAGGGGAAGGGCTGGGCGTGCACGAGTGCGAGAACTGCGCACAACAGGGCGCTCCTTAGCATGACTGAAAGGCAATGAATGATACAAGGCTCAGAGCAGATCTTGGAGTCTGGCACCTGCTGCAAGCACAGGTCTTTGGCCAGCTTTCTCACTGCCTTGGAATGTTATCTATCCATATACAACCAGCTTTCCCTCCATTGTTACAAGGGACGGTTAAAAAAATTAATTACCTTTCTATTCAGTGTAAGTGGGTGCTGGAGAATCTAGCTCAGGCTTGCTGGGTACATACACCATTCTTACCACTGAGCCATCTCACCCAGTTCTCAGTTTAGAGCATTGATACCTTCAACATAAAGAATACCTCAACATCTTCAGAGAATGCATTAAGATTTTCACAGTCATGTTCAGTCATCACAAAGTTGTGTCTACAGGGGAACTGGCTTTGCTACCGATTTTACCAGGAAGAGAACAGCATGGTCCACTCGATTCATTTTCTTACAATCGTATTTTTAGAAAGTGCTAACAATACACTACATCCTGCCTTAACCTCCAAGCTCCATGGAACAATGCCTGTGGCTGCACTTTGCACTGTTAACAGTAAGCATGAGGAGGGCAGTAGGCTGAGCGCTTCAATGCACATGAAGTAATTTAGGGGTCACACAGAATCTAAAGGAAGTCTTTCTGACTTACACATTAAATAATGAGCTGTTTGTTTATAAGCCAAGCTGCTTAATAAAAACCACTCTAGGAATTGAAATATCTGGAAAACACAGCAATACTAGTTTACCCAATGTGTTTCCTAAGTAAAAGTTTGTACTGTTTCTTGCACCAGATCTCCTCTTGCTCTCCCACCCCCAATTTAAGAATATTTGGCCTTACCTGTAGCGGTTCTGCAGCCTGAACAGACTGAAATGCTTACAGCTGTGCTGGTGACTCGGCACTTCACAGAGGAAGAGGGAGTATTCTTGCATCCTGAGGATAAAGACCTTACCAGAAAAAAGTCAAGGAAAAGACTATCTCAAGAGAGCATATTCTAGGTTTTAATAAGAATTTTCAGACTGTGAGAGGCCATATTAGAGACCTACTGTCAAAGCTAAATAGTAGAAGGTGAAGTTTTTCCATAAATGACAAGCTAAGACTAATAAGAAAATCTGGGGATATATGGACCATTGCAGCAGTATGGTGATGTATTCTTATGATCTAGTAAGGTTTGCCTGGAGATCAGAATGCAAAGCTAGCCATACTAGTTAGCTTATAGAAGCTGGGTATGGATCTGAGTTTAAGGCCACCTGGGCTACATGAGATGATCAGTCTAAAAGTGAAACAGTTCACACACTTAATCCCAGCACTAGAGTATATAAGGAGCTCAGTGCAGTCTCTGAGAGCAGTGTAGGATTCTGAGGCTTGGTGGACAGCAGTACAGTCTGAAGATGCAATCTGAGGACAGATCACCCCTTTGGTCTGAGCATTGGTAGAGGTGAGATCTCTCTAGTGGCTGGCTCTTTTGCTTTTCTGATCCTCAGCTTGAAGCCCACTATCTGACTCTGGGTTTTTATTATTTGTGTTACACAGCAGTCACATCAATAGATGGGTATTATACATACATACATTTGAATGTTATATTGTACCAATTCTTATCCCCCTTTTAAGGAACCACATTTACTTGGTGTGTATGAATTTGCAAGTGTCAGAAAACTTAGGTAGTCAGTTCTCAACATCCACCACATAGGTTCCAAGGACTGAGCTCATGCAACAGGCTTGGAGGCACCTTTACCTGCTGAGCCATCTCCTTTGTTCATTTTGTTTTGCTACAAAAATTCTTACCTCCCAATGGCTAGTTTAGCCACCATCAAACATGTTAATGGCATGTTCAACAGTGTAACTTAATGTCAAACTGCCCACCTCAGTGGTTGTACTGATAACAGTGTCACCATGTGAAACCTGTGTTTCACATCTCTTGCTTATGCTTGGCATTCTTTGAATCTTTATCATTCATGTTTCCATCAATGCCTGTCCTTCACCTGGCAATGCCTGAAGGCAAAAATCAATCCACCAACCTGTCTCAAACAGTTTTGAATTTTGCATTTTTAATAACTGACATGTTTCTTACAATGAAGGGCCACCTGTGCTTCAGCTTGAATTTGAGAAAATCCTTTAGTCTTGCTATGTAGCCTAGGTTAGCTTCAAATTTATGATCTCCTGTCTTCAGTATCCTGAATTTTGGGATCATAGAGAATGCACCTTGATGCCTAGCTGAGCTCGTTTTTATGAATGCAACTATAATGTAGACATTCTTTACTCATCCTATTAATAATCCATTGTCAAGTCATAGGTATTATTAGGTAAATCCTTCCAAGGCAGACACCCCCCACCAATTCCTTTACATGCTCTGCTCTTCCTTAGCACTCAGATCTGTAGGGGATAAGCAGGTTCCTTTGTATGTACCTAACGATTACTTTAAATGTGCTTGTATAAAAGTTCAAGATGATTCTTCAACTGCTTTAAGAACAAAGATCCAGCAGGGTTTTGGGAGACAGCTTAGTCAGCAAAATGCTTGCCTTTCAAGCATGAAGACTCATTTAAACTGGAGAAATATGAGAAGCCCGGCATGGTAGACAAAGATTCCTGAAGCATGCTGGCCAGCCATATATTGGTATAGCAGACCTTACCTCAAGACACTCAACATGTATACGGAAGGGAGTGAAGAAGTGCTTCCTACAGTACTTTAACAAGTTGGGAAAGAACTCCCCTCAATGTATGCAAGCACACAGACTACTTTCCCTTTTCTTCTTTGCTAGAGATTGAGGCCAGGGCTTTTCCAAGTGTAATCAAGCCAGGCAAGGACCTTCTCAACAGGAACCACCTAGTCAATCTAGTCTGGGCCAAAAGTAATGCCTCTTAATGTCCTGTAAGCTCCTCTAGTTCTCCCAGAGAAGCAACTCCAGAGCCCCAAACTGCCATCCTACTCCAAGCTTGCAGTTAGCCCTTCTAAACAGCAAAGCTGCCTTCCTTTCCATCACCCATTCAGGTAATAAAAGCCAACGTAGTTGCTTCGCTGAAATAGTTTCTTTCCTCAAGGGCTCCTTTGGGTGCCCAAGGCACCTACACTGATACTGGCTGTTGACTAATGTATCTACTGCCAGGTTATGTCTCTATCATTTTCCAGTCTTTCCCTTCCATCCCTTGACATTTACCATGTGGCTCTACGTTATGTATAACTGCTGGGACGTCCTTCCCATAATGCAGTTACAAGTCCAAGGATCATATGGAAACACTACCCTGTAATTCTAAGCCGGTGGGTGGGGTGGGGGGGGGTGGGGAATCAGTCCTGAGAGAACTGCATTTATATAAATATAATAATAAAAAAATCAAATAAGTGTGTAAAGACCCAGGAAAAATTTAATTCATTAAAATCTTTATTTTGAATAGCTTCAATCAAAGATTTCATAAGATTATTTACAATGTTGAATGTACAATTACGAATATCTACCTTTTTTTGACAACAGGGTACCATTCTTGAGCAGCAATACAATTTAAAAAATATAAAGATGTGGTATCATTTCTGATATATAAAGTTACTTAAAAAAATCCACAGTCTTAGGGAATTCCCAAATCATAACAGGAACTTTTATTAATTTCAGGTGCACATAATTACCAAATTGTAATACATTAAAAATACATGTAAATGCCCAGACTGTACAAAAGTTAATACCCTATCTTGTTAAAAGTTCCCAGTAGCCTCCCACCACAAATATAGAAAACCCCTTTCTTAGACACATCAAAACTGCATGCATAAGATGTTCTCTAAAGCCTGAAGCTGCTCCTCACTGCATATGAGCTTTTGCTGATTTTAGAACAGGGTTTATATATATGTATTATATATATATATATATGACACATTATTTACCATGCCTTTGAAACTGTGCAGTACTTTCATCAACATGGGAAACAAAATAAATAGTGAAAAAACAGTAATGGGTTTACTTAAATGCGAGTGCAATTTGGAAAGCTTTTGAATTTCAGGCTTGTAAAACTTAGAAAAGTACTGGATTGTTGTTGGTTTCGCCACTCTCACCCAATCACTATTTGCAGCATTGCTTTACAGCAGTTGGTGCTAGAAGACAGAAAACAGTTACCACTATTTATTTATATTTGAAGGAGGAAAACAACTTTAAACAACCCTGAGGGAGACCCACGTTAAAAAATCTTATTTATTTAAAAAGTTAAAAAGTTACATATCATTATTTAACAATTACTTTCCCGGACATTTCTGTCCTTTTAAGTATGTGCATAAATAAAATTTAAATCAGCAATATTATCAATCTTAATACATCAAAATAATATATGTACACATTTTAAAATTTAGGTCTGTATATACTCAAATAATTTAATGTAAAATTCAGAACCCAAATCTCTATGTGATGGTTACCTATAGAAGAGTCCACCTACCTACGGCACTAAGCAGGACCCATGTCTGGTTGACAGACATTCCCCAAAACAACATCCTCACTGAAATAACCTAACCTGTTTATGTTCAAATCTAACTTCCTACAAATGCTTTCTCTCACCTACATAAAACCTTGTTCCTTTGCAAACAATATGCACAGATGAGATATGTATTCTATCAACACCAAATATTAAAAGGGATATGTGTCAAAATAGCATTTTATGATCATTCTCTTGAGGATGTTAAATATAATTGATACTGGGTTTCTAAGCTGCAGTTAGCAATTAGTTATATGCTTCAGCATTTAAACCAAAGAATAAGACTTAACAATTCAGAAAAATCACTAAAGAATAGCATGAGCATTATTTGAAATGAACATGGACAGTATAAAACAGAGAGTAAGTAACTGTAGAAAATAGTGCTAATTCACAGCTCAAGAGGTCTAAGATGCATAGCTTCATAGAATCATTCATGGGACAATTGTTCTTATCTAACATATAGTAATATCATACATTTTGTTGGAAAATTTCGATTATGTATTTTATAGGAATCACTAGTGACAATAGCAGTAACAGTGATCCTGAGAATAATTTACATTTTTTTCTCTATAATTATCAAACATCATTCAGGTCTCTGCAACATAAAAAGTAAGAAAAAAATGGTTCTACAAATCTGGGTAACATTTGGTAAACTGGTAAGTATGTACTGCGATAGTAATGATCAACTAGGAGTAGAAAGCATACACATGTGGTTCATTAAGAAAAACAGAATAAATTTAGGGTTCATTTTTATAGCAATGCCAGCTTCCCAAGCTTATCATAATGCGGGCACTGCCAAACTGCCATATCCTATCTAGGAGGCATTATAGAAGTGTTACTTGAGAACTGAACATTAATCAGATAAAACACAAGTGTGAAAAATGCTTTCTACATTTTTGGCTCAATAAATGTGTATATTTTCTCAAGCTCACTTAAACAAAACAGGTATATGCTGACCTCTGGTGCCACCTAATGGCATAAAGCAAGTTCTACTCAAGTTCACACTGCTTTGTAAAAGCCAAAACTCAATATTCATTATTCTTTTAAGCCTCATTTTCCAAAGGAAAGACATATACCAAGGTTAAGATCAAACTCAAAAACAAAACAAACCCAACAACAACAATATAAAAAAACCCCACAAAACCAAAACAGTATTATCCTATTCCTTTAGGTTAAAAAAAGGGATAATGAAAAAGAACTTAAAATGATATAAATCCTTAAAGAAAAACAAACAGGTATGAAGATCTACCAACAAGAGAAATAATTGTCTCTTTCTGAACATAGGTATTTTTGAGACAGGGCTCTACTATGTACTCTAGACTACCCTTGGACTAAGAACAGTCATCCTGCCTCAGCCTCCTGTGCAAAGAGTACAGGCCTGCACCACTACCTGGCTCAGAAATAAAATTTTCTAATAAAAAGGTTCTTCATTCAATGAAGCAAACCAGACTGCTGACATCAGACACAGTGAGACCCACAAACATTATGAAGGACATCAAGACAGCAGTGAAGCACCTTGCTGGCTAGAAAGTGACACCCAGGCAGTCTATACAAAATAGAAAATCAGAAATGGAAATTACCTGAGTTGCTCTATCAACAATAACAAACAAACTCACTCCTATCTCCAGGTCAAAGGAAACTGGTTTATGTTTAACATAGAATTCTTTGGGAGAAACACTGGAATCTAAACAGACTTTAAACCTATTTTCACCAAAGAATAATTACAATTAACAGCTATATTATTTTAACAATCCCAATTTTAGGGCCTAAAATATATAAAAGGAACTTGCTAATAAGGGGTTGTGAAAATTAAAGAGGCAAACTAGTGTCAAAAGCTAAAATCTAAAAACCCCAACACAGTTCTCTCACACCCAATATAAAGTGTGTATCACATTTAGGTTACTGCATGAAGATCTAGCCAGATTGATAGTTAATAACTGTGAGGCAAATGCCATTTTACTGCTTTTGTTTTTAATTAACTACTGTACTATGACAGGGCTATGAACTGAAATAGTGCCATTCTGACATTCTGTCAGAAGCCTAAAAGCACACCCTCCTGAATACTGTCACTAGCACAGTAGAAGCAGTCTCTGCTATGCTATGGTGCTGATCTGACATGATCCATTCTCCTTTACTACAGTTTTGGCTTCCGTCGTTGTCTGAGGTTTAGGTGGCCATTCAGGATCAACTTTGAGCTCCTGCGCCAGGTACATGTATTTAGCTTTTGGTGTCTTCTTTCTACAGCTTAGGGCCCAGGACAAGCAGCATTTCCCCCACCGATCCACTGACTCCTAGGAAAAGAAACACATCCCAAGTAAGGGCTTATTTGTTAAAGCATGCACTGCACATAAAACAGTATGAAACAACTTCTGAATACAATAAACAACTAAGGAAAATTTCATGCAAAAAGTCAGCTTTCAATTTAGGAACAGATTGTTTTTAAAGAGGATTTTTTCCCCAGCTCCTTTTAGTTTTGTGCAAATACCCTCTTCTGTACTTATTATACTATTTAAGTAGCTTTCTTTAGCAGAAAACACCTAGAATGAGTAACTTTAAACTACTCAAGATATTTTTAATATTTAGTTTGGAAATCCTCATATTCTATCCCAAAATTATTCTTGTACATTATTGATACCCACGGGTCACTTTTAGCAGTAATGATAGAGAGATCTTCATTACTACTAACACTGCTTTCAAAACACAAAGCATGAAGTAAACACCATGGAGTAATAACCAGGATCTCATGGATCTTTTAAAACATCTCTGGCCAGGCATGGTGGCACATGCCTGCAATCCCAGCTTGGGTGCTGTGACGGTTAGTTTTTGTCAAACTGACACAGGCCATCCAGAGTCATTTGTGAAGAGGAACCCTGTACTGAGAAAATGCCTCCATTGGACTGGCCTGTAAGCAAGTCTGTGGGCATTTTCTTGATTAATGACTGATGTGGGAGAGACCAGACTCCAGGCGTGCTGCCATCCCTGAGAAGGTGGCCATAGGTTGTCTAAGAAAACAAGCTCAGGAAATTATGGGGAATAAGGCAGTAAGCAATGTTCCTCCACAGCCCCTGCTTCAGTTCCTGAATTGGCTTCTCCTGATGGTAGACTAACCTATAAGCCAAATAAGCCCTTTCCTCAAATTACTTTTGGTCAACTCACACAGCTACATAGTAAGACTGTTTTAAAAACAAGTAACACCAGACTCTTGCTGATATAAAACTGTTTCCACCTAATAAGTTTCCCTTGGTAAAACCAAGGGAACCAGCTGCTCTTTCAGAGGACCTGAGTTCAATTCCCAGCACACATATGGCTGCTCAAACCATCTGTAACTCTAGTTCCAGCTCCCATGCCCTCATCTACCCCCATAGTTACTGCACATACATGGTACAGACATACATGCAGGCCAGAACACCAATACACAAAATAAAAAAAATTCAAACTGTTGTGATCAAACATGTTACTTATAAATATGATCTTAGATTAAATAATCCTTGGAAAACAGGAAGGCAAAGTTCTTGGAGAAAAGTAAACTCAACAAAATAACACTCAATAGTTTCAAGTAAAGTTTGAAATAAATCTAAACGGTTATATATTTCACCTCTGAAAACAGCCCCAAAATTATTTTAGTTATTGCTTCTCCCAAGTAAAATTTAAATCCTAGATTGTTCTATTACCAATCAACAATGACCCAGCTTACACTAGGCTATATATACCTCAATGGAAGCAATCCTACAAAGCAAAAGTACAACAGATGAGCATTCTAATATGAACAACCAAAGTACCTACAGCCAAGAAAGGCAAATGTGTTATAGTGCATACCTGGAATCCACTTCTTAATTGGCCAGCATAAACCAGGCATGTGTAGTGCAATCCTAGCACTGGGGAGGTCAAGGCAGGAAATTTTGGTGTTCACCACCATCATCCTGAGCTAAATAGCAGGTTTGGGGCCAGTTTAAGCTACAAAGTGAAACCTCTACCTCAACAGATGGATCCATCAATCAATGAAGGCAAGTGGTAGCCAATGGGAAAGACCAAAAGCACTTCAAAATGAAAGCTCTGAAAACACTAACAACTCCCAGTGCTTCTCCTACTTTTACCAAGACAGCTATCAGTACCCTGCCTCTCTTCTTTAGTATGTAGATAAATGACTACGCTGCACTGCACCCAAGGATTTAAAGGCAAAACTGTAGTTACAGATAAGCTGTATTACATTCTAGGGAAAACTAAACATCCAGTAACCTCTATTACCATCACAATGAAAGTATTAGCTGTGTGTGGTGGCACTTGCCTGTAATACCAAAGTGCAGGAGGCAGAGGCAGAAGAATCTTCACAAGTTTGAGGCTGGCCTGGTCTACATCCTGAGTTCAAGGCCAGCCAATGTTATATAGTGAGATCCTGCATCAAAAAAGGAAAAGCCCAAGGTGGGGTTTGCAGGTGAAATATCACATTACTCTCTTTAAAAAAGAATCCATGACAAATTATTTTTGTACTAGGATCCAGCAGTCACTATGCACAGGATCCCTCAGGTGATCTAAGCAACAGCTAGAAGTTTCCTTCCCAGTGTAGCTGCATCACAACAGTAAGTCATCTGAGATGACACTATACTACTTTTTACTGCTTCCCTAGTGCTTTCACTCTTCAATCCAATTGTGGAAAAGATAGTTGTTCCTAAATATGAAAGCTGTCACTTTCATTTACAGTAGCATTGCTAAAGCATCACAGAGAAACACATGCTTGTCTGTGCAGAGAGTCCTTTGAGTGGAAAGGTAATGCATAACAGGCAAAAAGCCAAGAATAATGGAATTTAAGACCATCCCCCCCCCCATAAATTCACTATTCTACACCCATGGAAACAAAGGCAAGCAATATAATTAAAGTTAATCATAAATTATATCACAACTGCACATTTTTCTTTCAACACACACACACACACACCTTTTAAAACAATGTATACATCAAGTCACAATGAACACCCTATTATATTATAATCAGAAACATGTTTGTTCCTGTACCCGTATCTCTCCCAATGTCACAAACAAAAAATAAATACACTATACACAAAGTTCGTGAGACTGCACATAAATTTACCACACACATCTTGAAACAACATAATTCACTGGAAGAGAAAATTAAAGGCTACAGTCAGCACAGAGTGAGAATCAGGAGAGGGAAGATGGGAGCAATGTGTAACACAAAAGGTATTTAATCATCAGGCTTAGAATGAGCACTTGGATGTCCCCAACACAGAGTTTCAGTCCCTGAAGAAGGAGAACACTAGATCCTTGGATTTAGTTAATCTGGAATGGTTAATGTGGCCAAAGTAAGAATCTCTAAGACAAGAGCAAGAATACCACAGGTCAACAGGGAAACCACACAGAATGTTTATAAAGATCTGTAGGCACAATCTTGCTTCTGAGACATTCTGAGTTGCTCATTCTAATGCCTGGCTCTTTATGGCCAGCAGTCATTTAGGAAGAATTCTTTTTCATGCTTGGCATGCACTGTGGTTTTCATAAATCTACAACATCAATTCTCAATATAAAACAAATACAATCCAAACTAGCAATCTGTCTAAGTAAGTTCGAACAGTATTTTCAAATAGTTTTCTTAAGTTGCATAATGGCTACAGTTCACAGTTAGATTTCACAAGAGAGATACATAACCTCAACAGGATCACAGTGTACAACAGCGTGATTCTAGTTCTCTCAATTTCTAAACCCAACCACCCCAGCTTTAGCATGGAGCCTAGGCTGCAACATCTCTGAACTAACTCAGCAGTGCCCCTGAATATGGTAAGGTAAGAAAAGGGGTGTTCTTTCTCTAAGACTAACACAAAGTTGGGGAGCTGCAGTCTGGGATCTCACGGGCTTCTTTGTAAAAATAAGCAGCACCACTTAGGCAGCATAGAGTAAGGACTGTGGCAGAATCATAGCACCACACATCATGACGAGTAAGTGTCCCCAGCCATCTTTATTTCCTTCTCACCTCAGTAGGGCTTTCTACTTCAGCACGGGCAATACCTTGAGCTACACAATTCTTTTTGGCAGGGGTTGCTGTCTACATACTATAGGTCACTTATTTAGCAGCACCAATGGCCTCTATCCATTCTACATGTCATTAACCTGTCTCCCTTATTTCTGATAACCAAAACTGTCCATAGACAGTGCCAAGTATTCCCTGATGGGGGAGGGAAAGGAGGGGAGTTGGACAGAGTGGCCACTGATTGAGAAACAAAGCACTACACACAGAAGCATCTCTAGAGGAAACAATCTTTGTAGTAAAAGTAAAGCTCAAGAAGCGCTTTCCTAGAACCACAGAACTAGAGCCAAAATTCCTGTCTACCCAGTGGTATCCAGAATGGGTCAATTTGCAGGACATACTGAGTTTATGTACAAATGGACTATCCCCATATCTTTATTCTCTCCCAGGAACACTTTTAGAGGTAGAACTTCACATGAAATAAAAACCTTTTAAAAATTAAGAACCAATATTTAGAATTTTTTAAAGAAAAGACACAGTAATAAAAAACACACGTACATGTACGTACGTACACGTATGTGTGTATCTATGCATGTTCTTTATTGTGCTTGAAAATTTTGGGGATTTCTTTGAGCTGGGCAGGGTGGCATTTAATCCCAGCACTCAGAAGACAGAGACACACACACAGATCTCTTGAGTTCAGGCCAACATGGTCTACAGGCTGAATTCCAGGACAGTCAGGGTTACATAGAGAAGCCCTGTCTCCAAAAAACAAGACAAAACAAAACAAAAGGTTATTTCTAATTCAAATATTTTATAGGGGACTTAAAAGACCCATTTGACTAAATAATCAAATAAACCTCTCTTTAGAACACACCTGTACTTCCTATTTAGACAAAGTTGGAGAAGGTAAAAATTTGTATGTTTCCCTAGGCCTGAGCCTTTCCAAAACTAGGTAGTATTTCACATGAGAAGGGTGACCTGAGACAGTCTGACCTTTGGAAATCATGCAGTGATAGTGAAGTCACCAGAAGAAAATATGGCTATGTTATTATCACAGAGGAGACTCAGCTAAAGAACCTGAGCCCCACAGTTCTTTCTGGTCTTACCCACTACTAGTGACAACAGGCATCACTGCTTTTAGGAAAAAGAAACTAGAGTTAACTTCAGACTCATGCTGTCATTGCATGCCATCATTATTCCACCATACAGCACAGAGCACAAAGTGGCATTCTACATCTTATAGATGTAGCAAGCCTGGCATCAAACCTGGAACGCAGGCCTGCTTAATTACCAACACAAAACTCAGGAAGTCACCATTTAAGTAAAAGGCGATGAAAAGGAGTTAATGGTTAAAAATAGGAATGCCAGACAATCCTTGAGCACATATAAGCAAAGCACATCACCCACGCTATAAAGAGCAATGGCTCTTGAATTGTCTATGATCTGATCCTTCTATCTCCACCTCTCATGTGCTGGGACTGTGTGCTAAAACCTCTGGCAAGGTGAGATGTTAAATGTTAGTTCTCAGAGGGATCTGATTGAACGACAGCAGTCTATAGACTAAGTTTAACCTGAACATTCTATCAAGGGCTCTACTGTAACATCCTCACACTAGGTAATAGATTTATTCACTGGTTTCTCTTTCCCTTTTGTCAGAGGCTATTTAACTGCCTTTAAAAGCCCTCACCACTGCTTACACAGAAATGAGCAAATAATATTCTGAATGAGAAGCATCAGTCAGGAAAAGCCAAATTCCACATTACAATAATTCACAGCAACTGTCAAAACAAAAACACAGTAATAAATCCACAAAAAGTGTCTCTTGATTCTGATCCAAAAAAAAAAAAAAACAAAACTTTGTTTATGTGACTGTCATTTACCTTCTAATGGGACTAGTGAAAATTAAACACATAAAATATAAAGCAGGCAGAAATTAAAGAGTTCATTCTCAGTCAGGTGGTGGCTGCACATGCCTTTACCCCTAGCATGAGACAGAGGCAGGCAGATCTCAACAGAGTTCAAGGCCAGCCTGGTCTACAAAGTGATTCCAATATGGCCAGAGATACTGAGAAACCCTTTTGAGGGACAGGGGAGAATGAATGAACTCTCACCTTTGAGGGTAAGACAGACATACTGAGACACTCACAGGCGCATATACACACAGAGGATTGGAATGGAAAAGACTTATATGAAATCTCCAAAGTCCTAGGAAGCCTGTATTAAGTGCTTGCCATGAGTTTTCTAGGACTCCTTACCAAAATCAGAAAAAGAGAAAATGCGAGGCGCAACAAAGGTGGCTGAAGCTGCACACACAGAGGAACAAAACAAAATACACAAGTGGAAAGTGAAGACTCAACAGTAACTGCTCATTTCCAACCTGTGTCGGCTGTGTGGTGGTGAAACGGTACTCTCCTTGTCTGTCTCGACTGAACACAACTTTCCAAAGGACCGTGTCAAGGAAGAAGCTCTGAGAGATATTCCAGCGAGTTAAGAATTAAAAATGCCAGGTCATTCCTTTTCAACATGCACATCTGATAACATCCACACAATGCTACATCATTAATATAAACAGTATGGTTTGCTTTTCATATGGCGAAACTCAGTATTACAAAAGGATAAATAACTCATAACAAATACAAATCATAAAAATTCTTGATAAAACAAGACTCTTTTTTTTTTTTTGCAGATTGAGTTCTGATCCCCAGTGCTTTCCTAAATTAACAATATTGATGATTCATAGTCTTTTTGAGTTATTTTCACTAAATATCTATTATTAATTCTATCTACTTAATCTATAAAAACATTCCAGCAGCATCCACTACAAATAACCTCTAGATTAAACAAGAATTTTAAAAAAGTAACATCTGAAAGATAAACTACAATAGGAAAAAGAATGCTTTCTAGGACTCCTAAATAGAAATACACATTCTATGGGAGCAGCTTAAATGGTCCAAATATCCATGCTCCCATCACATCTTAATTTTAATCCAAGCCATGTTTTCTTGGGATAGCTGAATTTCAGCATAACTTCTCAATTTAGAATCATTACTAAAATAAACACATACTTTTAAAAGCCTCCACTATAAAAGTCTTCGGATGTCACAACTTCATCTCCTGTTTCAATCTGGCTCTTTCACTAGTATAAAGGGAAGCATTGAGAATTTACTAGCTCCTTTTAGAGAAATTAATCTGAAGGCAACCTTAATGAGAGGTTATTTTCTTTCTTAAGTAGTACACCTCTCTAATTTCCATTAGGGCAGTTCTGTGAGCTGCCTGGAGACCTACTTCTCTTTCTACTCACCACTCATTTTTGCTACCTCACAATCTAATGCCTCCTATCTTCATGAATGCAACTCAATCAAACCTTTTGATAGAAGTACAGAAAGGTCTGATCAATAAACTAAAAGAATTTGCCTAAAATGAGAGTGTGGGGCTTCTGTATAATACTATTTATTACCTGTTCTCCCCACCACTACCACCACCCCCTTTAAATCACCCAAGAATCCCCAAAACTGAGTGCTTACCTCAACCGTGATAGACACAAAGGCATTGATAAGAACAATGATAAGCATATGTATACGCCACTGGTATGGTACACACACAATCTAGAAGACAAAAAACTTTGGTTAGTCTTAATTGATATTATAGCATCACATTATGGTATCTTAAGTCAGGCATGGTAGCATATACCTGTAATCCCAGTAGCTGGGAGGTAGAGATAAAGGAAGATTAGGAGTTTAGACAACCCAAAGTCAGACTGGGATACCTGAGACCTTGTCCCAAAAAACAAAACAAAACAAAACAAACAAACAAACAAAAAAAACCTAAAAAAACAAAAACAAAAAAATCTGAGTTTACTGAAATCCTATTACAATAGTATCTATCTATAGACACACACTTTATCCATTGACTTTCAGTAACACCACAAATCATGAATCTCTTCACTCAATAAAACTCTGATAATTTTAAAGTGACCAAACTCAACATTGAATCTTAAGAGACTCAAAAGTCCATGCTCTAATCTAAAGTTTTACAAGTATCTAACAAGTCTGTATTTTTAAAATAAAAATCTGTCTTTCAAAAATAAGGTAGAGGTTGGACCTATGGCTCAGTGGTTCAGGAGCACCTGCTTCCAAAGGCTCTAATCTGGTGGTAGCTAAAAACGACGTGTTAACTCCAGCTACAGAGGATTCAAAGCCCTTATTTGGCCCCAACAGGCACCACAATTGGCATGCACATTCTTCTAGATATACACACAGTTATATGAAATGGATACTAACTTAATGCTGGTCAAATCTCAATTTGTCTTCCCCCTACTTAAGCCTCTAAACAGCTAGAACCACATCCATACGACACCATATCCAACTAAAATCTGATAGCTCTCCACGACCTAAAACATCTTTTCAGTTATCATGGAGTATCTAAGATACTATGTAAGAGGTCATGGAGTGAATTGAGCTAATGTACTTCATGTTAACACACTACTGGTGCAGGGAGGTTTGAGAGAGGGAGACTATAAGAGATACTAGAAGGCCAAGATAGTCTGGGGCCAATGAACCTGAATTGAAGATAGAATTTTCAGAATAGGAAAACTCAAAAAAAAAAAAAAAAAAAAAAAAACAAAAACAAAACAAACAACCCACAAAACAAAAAACACTTAAAAAAAAAAAGTGGTACCAAGAACAGAAGCAATGAAAAAAGAACCGATATATTTAGATTTAAGCCCCAGCTCCTAGATACTGTGTGTATGTGGGTATGTTCACACTTATGTGCACCCAAGAAACCAAAGGAGGATGTCAATTTCCTGTTCTATCACTCTATAATATATTCCCCTGGTGCTGGGATTAGAAGCACACACAACCATATCCAATATTTTATGTGGGTTCTGGGATTTGAACTTGGGCCGGCCTGGCAAACACTCTTACCCCCTGAGCTAGTTCAAACCCAAAGTGAGTTTTTTAAAACGCTCAATTTGTGCAACACTACTATCACTATAGCTCAGGAATGACAGCTAAACTCAGAGTACGGATGTAACAGTCTTTAACTTACTGATGCCAACTGCAGGCAAATGAGTACAAGGGAGATTATCAGAGTACTGAGAGAAAGAGGGACATGACCAGAGACCCACAAAGTAGGATCTAAAATGAGGATCACAGAGGACCACAGGAGGCAGGAAAAAGCCAGAAGGGAAGAAAGCACCATAATTCAAGGTGAAGATGCCTGAGAACACTGGCCACATTACAAGATTCAATACTTGGGGAACTAAAGAAAGGCCCAGGGAAAAAAACCTTCAAAGGCTCTCACACATTTTATGTAACTAATATGGTAGTATATGGCCTTGGTCAGAGCAGTTTCATTAGATCAGCTATGCTCGGTAGCACAGTGTATGGAGGTGTGCAGAATATGTGTTTGAAACACTTAACTAAATCTCTCAGTGAAAAACACGAACACACTCATACACTGCTCTTCAACATTCAATAATGAAGTTTTTATAAAAACACTCAAGATAAAATTTGCAATGGTTTGGGTAAAGTTTGTCACTCTTCCAAACTCATGTTGAAATGTGATTCCCAATAAGTGTGAAGAGGCAATGGGGTCTTTATGAGTGACTAATTTACAGGCATTCCATTTTCAAGGAAGAATTAATATATTTTCTGCTAAGGCAGTTTAGTTATCCCCAGAGCAGGTTGTTCGAAAGTGATTTGGGCTTCCCTGGCTCTTTATTACTATACTTCTTACTATGTGACCTCTTCCCATACAAGCCAATTTGATTTTCTACCTTTTAGCCCTGCAAGAAGAAATGGAAGTCCTCACTAAAAGCTGAAAGGATACTGGTGCTGAAAGGATACTGGTGCAATGCTCTCAAACATTCAGAACAAAACCCCCTCCTTCTCTTTATAAACCATCTTTCTTCAAGTGTTTTGTTATGGGCTATGGGCAACAGAACACTGAAGGAGCTGGAGTGATAAGCCCAGTGGTAAAGAATACTAAAATAGTGGCTCACAAATGCCTACAGCACCAGTTCCGAGGGGTCACTGGCATCCTTTTCTGGCTTACTCAGGTACCAGACAGGCCACAGTACATATACATATGTTTGTAGATACTCACAAATATACATAAAACAAATAAACCTTTTTAAAAAAGAGAACATGGTGCTAAGCTGAGAGGTGATAGCTCTTACCTTTAATCCCAGGACTTACCTTTAATCCCAGGACTTGGGAGGCAGAGGTAGGTGGATCTCTGTAAGTTCAAGGCCAGCCTGGTCTACAGAGCAAGTTGCAGGATAGCCAGAGCTGTTACACACACACACACACAAAAAACCCTGTCTCAAAATAAACACCTCATCATAACAAAAACCCATGGGGCTGAAGAGATGGCTAAGAGCATGTACTGTTCTTCCAAAGTCCCAAAGTCAGTTCCAAGAACCTATTATCAGGTGATTCACAAACTGAACTCTTAACTCCAGTTTTGGAGGATGTGATGCCTCTGGTCCCTGAGAAAAACCTGCACTTAAGTACACATACTCACATGTAAACACGCACGCACGCACCTCTGAAACAACAATACACTAAAATACATTCTCAGGAACTCCACTTTTGTGCACTAGCCTATAAATACTCACCTGTTTGTGTTATAATAACTTAGAACATCAAAATACTAGAAATAACCTAAATGAAACTAGTTTAAAAAAAAAAATAAGGAAAAGTCTGTACTACAGATTTTTCTTGGTTCTTCTTTTTCTAAAGACAAGGGTTTGTTGCCCAGGGTAGCCTCAAACTCCTGAGCTCAAGCAATCCTCCTGTCTTGGTATCCAAAGGCAGTGTAAATAGATTTGATTCTTGTGCTCGAAGTAACAATCCTACAATACATCTAACAAAAATGTGTAAAACATCTCATGGAAAAAATTATACTACTGAATGGAATCTTTCACTGCTAACTCTGTGAGAATGTTTCCAAAAAGGATCTGACTAGGGATACAGGATGGCTTGATGACCCAGCCTGACAAAAACAGGAACCAAAAAGAGTGAGCTGTGGAGAAGGTCAGAACACAGACTGCAGAGAGCAATAGCCCTCTGAAAGCTAGAGGGATCTGAGAGCTTTACCCTTCAAGTCAATGCAGCACTTCCTATTATGTAATCTCTACTCTTATGCATGTTTCTTGGTGGTTTTGCTTTTTGTCTGTTTACTGCTGTTAGGTTTGAGGACTAATAAGAGTATTTCTTCATCCAGTCTACTATAAAGCTTTGTGTGATTAATTAGATGATATTATAGACAAAATGGCCTTAAAAGACACCCACAGAACATTCTATTCAAGCACTACAAAATCCATTATTTTCAGCAATCCATGGAATTTTCTCTAAAATAGGTCATACATTAAGAAATCTCATAATCCTTGTGCTCTCCATTAAGCACTAAGGAAATGAGGACTGCTAAACACCAAGTATTTCCAGAAGGCTGGGTGTGGATGTGGTTAATAGCCTAGTGACCTCTGCATCTACCTGTAAGGCCAGGTCACACCTGGCTTCCCAATCTATATACTGCTGTCCCCTCCCAAACCTTTATCATGAGCTGTTTACCTTGAGTCTGCTTTCACAGTTCCTCTACGGAACCTATCTCTTCAGAAGATGTCACTTGTACTTTATAAAAGAGTTTTGATGAAATAATACCTTAAGTTTTATTGTACCCACAGGTTTGAGTTAATTATCACAAGGAAACCTCCCCCCAAACAGTGCTGTGCTTAAATATGCCTGTAACAAACTATCTGAGTTGTGTTGAACCAGACTTCATTCTTACCCAACATGGATTGTTGGGTGGTGCTGGTGGTGTCCGCAGAGACCCCACATGGAAGAACAAGACTCCACTTGGTCAACATACTCTTGAGCAAAAATAACACTACTGGAGGTATAACCATAATTGACTTCAAGTTGTGCTAAAGAGCTGTAGTAATTAAAGCAGCACAATACTGACAAACAACAAGAAAACCTCAGATATGGAGATCAGTAGAATAGAATAAAGATCCGGGTAAGCGTCTACGCAACTCCATTTTTGACAAAGATGCCAAAAGCACATATTGAAGAAAAGATAGCATTTCTAATCAAGCATGATGGGGGAAACTGGAGACTAAAATGTAACCTGAAACTCCTTTATCTCAACTCCAAATAGATAAAGAACCTGAAATTCTGAAACTGCTTCAAGAAAAAAATAGAGAGTACACAATAAGATACTGGTACACAGAACTTTGTGAATAGGGTTTTGACTGCTCAGGCAGGAAATAAGACCAGTAACAAAATTTCATGAACTCAAAAAAATTTCCAGGTATACATAAGAGAAGATTCAGATATAGATAGACTATACAAAGAACTCAAGAAACTAAGCAGTAAGAAAACAGCTCCCGCCCCAAAACAAAAAGGGGGTGGGTAACTGAGCAGAGTTCTCAAAAGAAAAAAAAAGGCAAATAAACATTTAAAAGTATTCAATACCAGAAGCCATCGAGAGAAACTGAAACTGCTTTGAAATTCCATCTCATCTATTCAGAATGGCTACCATCAAGAAGACAAATGATACGAAACGCTGGTAAAGATGTGGGGAAAGAACCCTTGATCCACTGCTAGTGGGAGTATAAACTGGCATAGCTATCATAGGAAACAGTGGTTCTTAAAAAGCTTAAAAATCAGAATTACCACGATCCCAGCAATAACACCTGGAAACCTCCAACGATTTTATATCCTACTACAGGGACACTGACACATCCATGTTCTCTGCTATTCTAGTCACAATAGCTAGGAAATGGAATCGGTCTAGAGTGCTCATTAAATGATGAGTGAATAACAAAACACGTAACAATGGAATTCAGCTATAAAGAAAAATGAAATTATGTAATCTCAAGAATGAACGGAACTGGAAACTATGTTAAATACATTAACCCAGCTCCAGAAAGACAAACACTTCACATCCTTTCCCATATATAGAGCCCAACTTCAAATTTTTAGTTGGGAGTCAGGAAGCTAGAAAGGACATATAAGAGGTCTTAAGGGAGATGGAGATGGTGGTACACATGTAATATAAAAGTTAACAGGGTTTCAGGTGATGGGAAGGTTTGAAAGGTTTAAACAGGGTTGGGATGATGGGGAGAAAGTGGAAGTGGGGGTGGAAAAGTTTTTAGGGGAATCTCTTTTTAAGCTAGTTTAAAATACGTACAAAGGGAATGGAGATGGTTCAGTGGTTAGAGACATTTGCTGCTCTTGCAGGAGACCCAGCTTCATTCAGTTCCAGCACCTACATGACAACTCACAACAGTCTGTGACTCTAGTTCTAGCTAATCTGACTCCCTCTTCTAGTCTCTGTGGGCACTGCATACATACAGTACACCTACATACATGCAGGCAAACCACTTACACATACAAAATAAAAATAAGTCTTGTCTGTCTATCTATCTAAAAAAAATGAGTTTGAATGGAAGTATCACATAGGGGTGAACAACACTTCCCCCAGAAGACATAAATTGTTACATGAAAATATCAGTGTCAGTTGTGGGATACTTTCCTATAAATTATGGGTCAGGGACAACACAGATTGCCACCTACCCCCCCAAACACAGGCTATTGCCATTGCTCTTGGTTGTCCATCACAGCTAGATGGTAAGACTCTATGCTGAAAATACAACACACTTTGGTTACAGAATACAGAGAAATCAAGCTGGAACTGATCTGGAAAATTAGCCATGAGCCTGGCATGCTATTGTACAGATTTGACAAATAAAGATATATATACTAGTATAACAGTGGCACAAAGACTAGATTTCAGGCCTGCTCTACAGGATAGACTTCACTATAAATTTGGTAGCTGCAAACTTGGCCAAAATTCCATTAAGTAGAGGAGACCTACTACTGTTGTTTTTGTTCAATGGATATGTGTCTTCTAACTCTTTGAATATTCCCATTCATTAATGCTGCTCTCAACCTTACAGTGGGCAAAACAGTCAATGCTGAAGACTCTGCTTTCTGACTATAGATACAACATGACCAGCTGCCTCAAACTCCTACCAGCACCTATTACCCATCATGACAGGAGATATCCCTTCAGCCATGAACCAAAAGAGTCCTCCTGTTCTTAAATGGCTCATCAGTTAATGTCACAGCAAAGGGAGAAGTAACTAATACAATATAAGAGAAATGACAGTACTCACAGAAAAGTAACTAATTGTTTCCTGAATTTATTAAGCAATTCACTATAACTCCAAGAGTGCTTTTCTTGGCACCTGACAAGCCAAATCTAAAATTTAGAAAGAAATAATCCCAAATAGACAAAAAGACCTTGATGATTCAATCATGTTGAGGTAGAATTGCTGTTGTGAAATATATAAAAATTCCTTACAGAGTCATAATAATTTGAACAATCTGGTACTACCACAAGAAAAACATGAAGAGAACTCAGGTATAAAATAAAGTTCCTAATGGGATGAAAAATCACAAACTTTTACTTAGAGAACTGAGAGATGACAAAAGTACTACTGAAGACACATGGGAAACGATGTACCAATGAACTAATCCAGCATAATAAATAAAATCTATTTTAATTATGTTTTCTTTATTAAAGCATCTTTTTTTGATACAACTACATCATAGACAAAGGGAAAGAACCATACAAGGAAAAATAATTGAAGTAGTTTAATCTTTGTTCAGTACCATCATAAAAGTATCATTTAGCTATTGTACATTCCATATAGTACAATGTCACTTTCTACTAATGTCTTATACTGTTACCCCAGTTCCTATCAACCATGACACAAGTAATAAATGAAGTGCTAAGCCTTACCTCAAGAACCTGGTCAACAGAGGCAACTGGATGCAACATGATGAATAATATGAAAACATACAAAATAATCACAGATATAACAAAAAAATCTGGAAAAGAAAGTAAACAATTAAATTAGGCATTTCCTTTAAAGGTGCCAAACCAAGATTTGGTTTGATGAAATATAAAAAGCACATGCTGTTATATCCTACAGTATAAGACATTCTGCATCCCCACTTTAGAGTCCATTTGCTTCAAACTTAAATGTATGTCAGAGAATGGTAACACATACTTTAATCCTAGCATTCCAGATACAGCAACTCTGAGTTCCAGGCCAGCTAGGAATATATAGGGAGACCCTGATCAAGTGATTCCCCTGCCCCAATTCCACATTTATAAACAGAAATGCAATATTCTACTGCACAAGCACAACTAAATTAACACATATCTGAAAAGTTACTATGGTAAAGAAAGTGCTTGGTTAGAATCACACAAATACAAACAGATAAAATGGGGAGAAAAGGAGAGAACTAAAAGAAGTAGTCACAGGCAGGTATGATGGCACAGACCTGGAAAATAGAGGTAGGAAGAATGGAGTTTGAGGTCAGCCTCACCTGCAAGATGAGATCTACCTCAGGAGAATAATGAATCAGAATGGATGGATTGATGGATGAAGTTTCAATTCAATAGACATCACCCATATTACTTTTAAAATCTTACAGCATTTAACAACTATGTTCCTGATAAATACATTCCTCAGTTAAGAAACTTGTTAGATTTACCTAAACATGTTTTTAAAAATTGCCAACCCCAGATCTAACTTCTAAAAATCTGCCAAGATTCCCATGAGAGGGAAAAAAAGTTATCTTCACTAGCCTGGAGACAAAAAAGCTACTAGGAGCTGGGTGATGCTTGGCATTGAGCACTTGTTGCTCTTCCAGAAGATATAAGTTCTGTTCCCAACACCCACATCTGGTAGCTCACAACTGCATGTAACTCTAGCTCCAGAGAATCTAATGTCCTTTTCTGGCCTCTGTGAGCACTGTATATAGGTACAGGAAGATAACAGAGAGAGACATTCATATATAAAAGTAAGTCTTAAGTACTATTCAAAAAAGGTAGATGTTGCATGTATGTATGTAAGAACACACAAAACTTTTAAAAATCATTTCAGACTTCAAAGAATACAAAAAGTATTCAGTCGAGGGAGGTAGGAATGTCTACTAACTTAACTCTCAGTTTCAGTTTCTGGGTCCTCTTAGGGATTGTAAGTGGGCATTTAGCAACCTTGTTAAATTGCAAATGATCTTCACTAGAGACAAATGTCAGAGGAAGTTACATGTTGCTGATGGGGGGTGGGGAACAGCAAAGTGGTTAAGTTAAAAACTGAGTTCAAAGTTAAATCACTTTGCCTAATATTGTTGTAAGGTATTTTTTAAAAGTAGATATCTTTTTTATTATTTGGGTTTCTGAGACAGGGTTTCTCTGTATTGCTTTGGAGGTTGCCCTGGAACTAACTCTGTAGACCAGATTGGCTTCAAACTCAGAGAGATCCTCTTGCCTCTGACTCCCGAGTGCAGGGATTAAAGGTGTGAGCAAGAACGTCCGGCTTAAAAAAAAAGTAGGTATTTTTAAATATTCAAAAATGTAAAATAAAGATCAAGCCATGGAACATTCATGTAATCCCAGTACTGAGGAGGTGGAACGGGAAGAGCAAAACTTCTAGATAATGAGTACCAGGACAGCCTGGGCTAGACCCTGTTAGAAACAAACAAAATATAGTCAGTTTGGTGGCACATGTCTACAATCCCAAGATTTAGGAGACTGGAACAGGACACCACCAGTTAAAGGCCCAAAAGCCTGGGGTTGCCTAGATTGGACAGCAAGACACTGTTTCAATGTTCTCCAAAAGAAAAATGGTATGTAAAATCAAGTAATCATGTCCCAGCTTACTGTAACACACATCTTTTTGACAGAAAAGGATTTCCTGTCTTTAGAGTCTCAAAATAGTACAGAAAGCACACACACACACACACACACACACACACGCACACACCCTATGGTTTGTATACAAAACACACTTCTCTTGCTTCTTAGTCCTGTTTCTTTCTCAAACAGTAACTACCACCTTCTGACTTAGCTAACTATCTCTTCTCCTTTCCCCAGTTATCCTATTTTGTAGGGCTAAATTAGACTATTCCCACCAATTAAGGTGGGAACAAGAAAAATATAGACAGACTTTGAACAGGAGATGCCAACAGTTTAATATTAACATCTCCACAAAGACAGGGGATGGACTCTACAAATAAAAACCTACAAGGACCAAACAACAACTGTGACAGAAGCTGAAAGTGTCTGACATAGTGGTTCACACCTATAATACCACAACCTGGGTAGTGGAAGATTAGAAGTTCAATGACCCCCCCCCATCTCAAACAAAGAAATGTAGTGAGAAGTGACAGTTAAGAGTTAAGTGTACATCATCATGGAACTTGAAATAGAAGCATGACCAAACACAATAGTGAACATATAACTGTACTAAGTTTGAAAATGCGTAGCTAGACTGAAAGTAGGTTTAATTTTAAAGTGAAAATAAATCAGAGAGGGAATACCATTCAGGAGAGTATTCCTCTGCCACCAAGGCTGACATTAATAACAGCAACAAACAGAACCTCAAAGTAAGTGTATAATATATTATATTGATTAGATCTAGAGAGCAATTCAATAGACCTAGCAAAGAATTATTCCAAGAATTCCAATGGCAACACAGGTCATTGACAGGAAAATGGGTAAAAGAAAACTAGCAGAATACATTCCATTGTATAAGCTTACAGAAAATAATGCAGTTTTATGACTCTGCTGAAATATTTTGAAACATTTAAAAGAAATCCGTGACATTGTCAACAATAAAGTGGTTATCATTTATCCACAACAATTGGAAGTTAAATGAGGAGATAAATTTGAAGTTTTCCAAGTCATGTTACAGATGTACTTTGGGGGCTGGCAACTCTCTTTGCTTGAAGTGACTCAATCTAGCAATGTGATATAAATAGGGTAGACTATATTTCCTTAGATCAATACAGTTAATTTTCCTAATGGGGAAACAACACCTGAGAGCCAATTTTCTTTATAACTAAAAAGAAAAACAATAAAAGGAAAACTATTCACTGTCTCTGGACAGTGAACTGCACCTGCAATCTTAGTATTCAAGAGAATGAGGCAGGGCAATTAAAGAAAGCTGGCTCAACAAAGCTGTCCTTTACCCTCCACATACAATACTAATTAAAAAAAAAAAAAAAAAAAAAAAGGAAAGGGCTGGGGATACAGGCTCAGATGAAAGAATGGTTTATACAGCATGCATTACACCCCAAGTAGGACCCCTAATGCTATATAAACTGGGTGTGGTAGCAAAAACCTGCAACCCTAGCACTCAAGAAGGGGAAGCAGGACAATCAGAAGCTCAACCTAACCTCAGTTATGAAAGCTGAAGTAGACAAGACCTTACCTTAAAAACAAACAACAAACACAAATAGTGAAAAGAGTTCAATGGTATAGTACCTACCTAGCTTGTCCCTAGTTCTAAGCCCTTAATATTACCTCCACTCCTTTCCTCTAAACAAACTACTACCCAAAAGATTCACCTGTTAGTACATGAACTTTAGTTTTTATAATTTAAAGTTATATAAAAAAGAAAGGTCCTGTTGAAGCACTTTTGCAGTGGGAAGCAAAAGTGATTAAAAATTAGGAATTTAGCTGGGCAGTGGTGGTGCTCACCTTTAATCCCAGCACTTGGGAGGAAGAGGCACTCTGACTCTCAAATGAGTCAGAGGCCAGCCTGGTCTACAAATTGAGTTCCAGGACAGCCAGGGCTATTATGTTACACAGAGAAACCCTGTCTTGAAAAACCAAAAGTAATTTCAGAGACACTGACCACAACAGTGTGAGTAGAGAAACAGGCAGATGGTACTGTATACAATATCCCAAAGGAAAGCATACCCACTGTCTGCCCGAGAACATTCTATAGGTTCCTGCTTCCAAGTCAGAACTCACTCACTCACTCACCCACCTATCCACCCACCCACCCATCCACCCACCGAAAAGGGCCCAAAGTAACAGGATAAGAAAACCAGTTGTCATTTTAATTTTTAAACTCAGAAGTAGGAATGCTTGTGAAAGTGAGAACAAGACAGTAAACATTCAGAGCATAGACATCTTCTCTATGAAGGATTTACCAGTTAAAATTCTGTATTTAACTCTCTTTAATTTTGGTTTTTAAGACAGGGTCATGTCACACTTACAATTCTTGTAGCAAGGCTGCCTGAATGGTTTTCCTTTTGAAAAGGCAACTGCCACTGTGAGGTACTGGAAACTGGAGATAAAAAACACTGTGGTATTTTCATAATTTTGTATTTTACACGTATCAAGTTCAGTTCCATTGTACAAATGTGACGAGTTCCAACATGCGCTTCTTGTGGTATTACAAACACTGGAACACACAAAGATCCTATTAGGAACACGGCAGCACAGCATTTCCCCAAGAGGCCAGTGTTATTTTAGATGCCTTAAATAACTACAATACAAAGATGATGCTACAACAGCAGCAACACAGATACAAGTGAACATTTTTCTTTCCCTTTAGGTACATAATCCAGTCAGTTAAAATTATAATCAACATTTTTCTTTTTCATTTTTGCATGGTGAATGTAAACAGGTCACAGTCCTATCCTTACTTAGTGCTACCACTTTCAGCACTGCCCATGCTAGCTAGAGTACAGTAACTTATTTAATAGATTTGAAGCCACTTCTTCACCTGGGACTCACACTTTTCTGGGTTCTGCTGTAAGGACTAAGCAGAAAGAACTGTGTTGACTGATGCCTGGTGGAGCACTGCCAAGAATAATCTTCAGTGTTTTCTAGTTATAGCTTACCATCCTTGTATACTGTTGGGCATACACAATTAGTAATGTTACTGCAACTAACACAGCTAAAATGTTAAAGCCCTGTAAATGGATTCTGGAAAGGTTCAAGACAATCTTGCCCATCCTTTTTCATAGGCAATGCCTATATACTTAAATAAAACAGTAACCTTTTTTAATTTTCTAAAAATTTTAATGGTAACTGCAATAAAGCAAATTATTTTTATTCACATTTATTAAGTCATCACAGTCTGTGAACAGCAAAGCACTTCACAAACAAACACCTAATATCCTTTTCAGAAATTTAAAAATAAATACAGTGTTTCTTCAACTTAGGGTAGCAAAACTGCAAGTATGACACAATGCCTCTTGGACATTGATGCTAATTTAATCATTTTACAGATAAGCAAGTCTTGGAGGCAAATTCATCATGTGATTCTAAGTTCACATCTAGATAATGAGAAAACTGTGCCTGTCGACTTTCTGCTATGGCCTTTGTATGGCCCCCTCTAAAGTCTATACTCAAATTTAATCCCAACTGAGACACTAAAAGCAGAGAATGAATGATTAGGGCTTTGCCCCTGTGAGTAGATTAATTCATTCATGCAATAACAGATGAATGGGGCATATCTGAATAGGTCTGATATGAAACCCAGTTTAAGTAGATCTTTCATTGTGTGATGTCTGGTACTGCCAAGGAAACACCACCATCCCCCCCCCCCAAAAAAAAAAAAAAAAAAAAAAAAAAAGTAATTTCTCATCTAGGATGTAAAATAAATCTCTTCTTAATAACCTGGTCTGTGGTACAGACTAACAGAACATGAAGATATCCTCTCCTAAAGACAAATGTTACCATGACAACAAGTATTTAAAAGCAAGCTGCATGCAAATTCTATGCACATTTCAAGACTCATCTTTTTATATTCATCTCACACAAATTTTTATGATGGGCTGACCAACTTACTCAGAGTATGGATCACACACTTTATACTGCTTGACCCAGAAAAAACCCAGCGACTGAAATCCAATGCTGATGATGATCTGAGACAAGACGGAGAAGAGGAGTGCCCCAGATATAAGGCCCGAAGGTGGTCTCTGTGCCACAAGTTCTTTCCAGGCAGGATTTAAGCTCACTATATTTGAAAGGAAAGAACAAAAAGTTTTTGTCTAAATTCCCCACTATGAAAGACATAATAAAATTCACTTAGAAATAAAACTTTTAGCCAGATGGTGGCAGCCCTCGCCTTTAATCCCACCACTCGGGAGGCAGAGGCAGGAGAATCTCTAAGTTCGAAACCAGCCTGGTCTATAACAGCCAAAAACAAACCAAAAAAAAAAAAAAAAAAAAAAAAAAAGAAGAAAACTTCTAAAATTCTGGTTTTTGTCTATTAAACATTTACTTAATAAGTTTCTAAACACTAAAGTTAGATGTCATCTATACAAGAAAACAATTTATGATTATTTCAAAATGCCTCCAGTAAGTTTTACCTTTCTGTTGAAAATTATGTGAAATACTAGTACCAGTAAAAATAATAGTAACTGTAAGCCAATGTGGTAGTCCACACCTGTAATCCCAGAACAGTGATGAGACAGGATGACAAGTGCAAGGCCTGCCATGCCTTATCATGCTATGTCATAACATAACATAAAAATGCATAAGGAAAACCCAATTAAATGTTTTCCCTTTAAAGAAATTACTAGCAATGTTTAAAGTAATAAAATAGAATAGTAACAAATTGGTTCAACTGGTAACACATGGGCTTTACCACTTTCTCTTCTATTACGATCAGTGTATTTGGTTTTATGTTGCAGTCTTTGATCCACTTGGACTTCAGATTTCTGCAGGGAGGTATTTATTTGCATTCTTTTACATGCAGATATCTAGTTTAACCAAAACCATTTGTTGACGATGCTTTCTTTATTATAGTCAGTGTTTCTGACTTCTTTAGCAAAAAGGTGTCCTTAGGTAAGCGAACATTTATCTGGGCCTTTGATTTAATTCCATTCATCAAGCATGTCTGTTTTTATGCCAATCCCATGGAATTTTTATTAGTATAGCTCTGTAGTATAACTTGCAATCAGGGATGGTGATATCTCAAACAATTCCTTTCTGTTCAGGATTGTTTTGGCTATCCTGGCTTTTTTTTTTTTTTTTTTTTTTTTTTGTTCTTCCATATGAAATTAAGAACTAACCTTTCAAAGTCTGTAAAGAACTGTGTTGGCATTTTGATAGAGACTGAGTTGAAACTGTATTTACTCTTGGGCATATGCCCAAAGCATGTTCCATCCTATCTACCACAAGGAGACTTGATCAAATATGTTCATTGTGGCTTTACTCACAATAACCAGAAACTGGAAACAACCTAGATGTCCCTCAACTGAATAAAGAGAATGGGGTACATTTACACAATGGAGTATTACTCAGAGCTTTAAAAAAAAAAAAAAAAGACAACATGAAAGTTGCAGGCAAATGAATGGGGGGGAGGGGGGGAGGATCCTGAGTAAGGTGTCCCAGATCCAGAAAGACAAATACAGTTTGTATTAAAGTGGATATTAGCTGTTAAGTAAACGATAATCAAAGCTATAATCCACAGATCCAGAGAGGTCAGGTAAAGAGAGATATAAAAGGAAGGAAGTATGGATCTCCCTAGGAGGGAGAAATGGAACAGAAATGAGGGGCGGGAGATATGGGAGCCAGAGTGGTCAGGTGTAGAGGGAGGGTGAGGGCGGGGAGAGAAAGCTGGAATTGGACAGCCTTTAAGGGGGGTATGGAATCCTAGTGCAGTTGAAATTTCCTGGAATCTATTGAGTGAACCTAGTGAGGACTGCTAGTAATGGGGTATATGAAGTCTGAATTTTGGTAGCCAGGCAAGACTGAGTTACATTCAGTTGAGTTGTTGGTACCAGATCCTCTACATGTTATGGCTGTTAGCGTGTTAGCGTAGCATTTTGTGGAATTCCTAAGAGGTGGAATTCTTCTGCCTGCTTGAGAATCTTTTACTCCTACTGGGTTGCCTTGTCTTATTCTATCTTATTTTGTCTTGTTTGGGGGTTGTCTTTTGGAAGCCTGCTCTTTTCTGAAAAGGAAACAGAAAGGGGCCAGATATAGAGGAGAGAGGGGAGTAGGGGAGAGGGGAACTGTTTGGGACATATTGTATGAAAGAAGAATTTGTTTTCAATTAAAAAAAAAAAAAAAAACCTGATTGTTAGAGTGAGATAATGAATGCATCAAGGATCAAATATATATAATGGCTAACTGAGCAAGAAGGGGAAGGTGAACAGTTAGTATTTTGGCCCCTATGGTATAAATAAATCATTCTGAAGGGGGAAAAAGAAAAAGATACAAAAACTAGAAAAACTAGTTAAAATTTATGAGCCAGGATTATAACTCACTTTCAGCCTAGAAAACAGATTGGGCAAAATACAAATAGCCAGTAATAAGAAGACTGGAGTAGGATAAGCTAGTTACAATGGCTGATACAGATTTACCAAAATTTAGTAATTTGAAATTTTCATGCTTTGAAATCAAGAAAATTAGCAAAATACTTACTTGTAAATACCACTACCAAAATGATTGCCAGATCGATGAAGAGAAACTGAAAGTCTCCCAGGTTACTCAAGATCTACAAAAGCAATTGTGAAAGTTCGACACCTTCAAAATGATACTTGAACCTTCTTAAAAACTGAAATACATTTGCCTTTGAAATTAATCAACAATAATATCATCTGTATAACTCTGAGTGAATGCTAGTATAAAAGGTTTGACTTCAAAATTTGACAAAGCATTTTTAATTTTGACAAGAAATTTTTACTCAAAATATTCAACATTCTAATACTTGGCATTCTCAAATGTCAGTATCTTTAAGTTTCTTAATACTTTAATTCTTCCCTCTGATTTTAAAATAGTAACAAGGGAATGTTCACAAAGATTCACAAACCATTAGGATTACAGTGTCATTACTAGGAAATCTGCAGGGAGATCATGCAGACCATAATCTAATAGAGTGACCTATAGCAACTCTGTTGGCAGTCTCCTCCAAGTACATAAAGCTCTATCAACGGTTTCTGAAATGTTTTTTCTGCAAATACACAGCACAGTTAAATACAACTGTGACTAACATAGATGGCATACATCTTTATTCCTAACATAATAGCAGTAGAAAAATCAAGACTTCTAAGACACTCCTCAACCACATAATGAATTTGAGGCTAACCTACAAACATGAAATCCTGTCCAAAACAAGCAAAGCCGATCTGTATTACAGACTAAAAAGAACAAAGTCACCATTTCTTCTCCACAAAGCTGTAGCCATGGGTGCAAGTTGCAGGTTTTAACACACATCCCAAATCAATGACACTACTATTCAACATTATTTCAAGGTAATTTTATACATATTATATACGTTTCATTTTTAATCAATGTGTTTAAAATGGACAACAGTATCTTTGGTGTCTGACTATGGAACATGTCTGGGTGGTGTTGGTACTCACAGAATACAGAAGAGTAACACTGAAGTATTGTATGATGCTGTATAAGGCCATAAATTTAAACACACAGAAAGATGTCATTAAAGCAGCACGGCCTTCCCTGTGAACAGAAATGTTGGCATGTGATCAATAGCACCTTAAAATCTTGTCCTTCTGAACATAATTTCATCATGACAGATGAACATCAAAATTCAAAACTACAACAAAGTTCTTTGATACCAAAAGAATTATGCCACAACACAAAATCATCAATCTGTTACTAATGAGTTATAGGTCAAATGCACTGCTGAACATTAAAACAAGTTTATATTGTTCTTCATAATTTACCCTATTATACTTTAAGCACAATCTAGAACAAAATTACAAAACTTTGAGCCAGGAATACTAGCTTTCACATCTGTATTCATAGTCATTGGGGAGACTGGAAGATGAAACAAGTTCAAGGCCATCCAGGCTACATAGTGAATTCCTGGCCAGTCTAGTCTGTGCTACAAAGTGGGTGTGTGCATGGTGGTGGGTGGGGAGCTGGGGGGATGGTTCAGCAGTTAGGAGCACTGGCTTAGAGGATCTGGCATAAGATTCACAGCACCCACATGGCAACTCAAAACTACCCATAATAAGTTCTTGGGTTCAGATGATCTTTTCTGGTTTCCTTGGATATCAAGCACACACGTGGCACACATACTTACATGCAGGCCAAACATATTTTATTAAGGTCTCTTTGAAGAAAAAAAAAAAAAAAAAAAAAAAAAAAAGAAGGAAAAAGGAAAAGGGAGGGAGGGGAGAAGGAAGGGAGGGAAGGATTCCAATTTTCATTACCTGATTAGGTTTGGCACGCAGGAAATACTAGGTGTTTTAGAAGTAAAAGGAGATGCCACGGAAGCTTCAAGCTCAGACAAGGAAATACCACCATGGGCCCTCTTCAAAGCCTAATTGTTTCAAGAATTCTGATTAAATTTAGTGAATATTTCAACTCAGGCTAAAGAACAAACTACAAAATAAATCACAAAAACGTTACTTACGCCACAATCATTTGCACCATCACCGCACATCCCAACAAAGTAACTAGGAAAAAAAAATTTTTTCTTAAGATTTTATTACAAATCACAGCTGGGCGTTGGTGACTCACGCTTTTAGTCCCAACACTCAGAAGGCAGAGGCAGGTGGATCTCTGTGAGTCTGGTCTACAGAGCTAGTTCCAGGACAACCTCCAAAGCTACACAGAGAAACCCTGGGGGTGGGGGAGTATTGTTACTGTTGGAAACCAGCAGTCTGCTGACCCCAGCCCCTGACGATGGACAGGAAGTTCATGGCCATGTCACCTGTTACCTGGCTGCGCAGGGGAATCAGTTACATGTGCACAAGTTTCCCTTTTAAAGCAAGGCTCTCCCCCTTTCCCCCCTCCTTGCTCTTCCACTCTTCCTCTCTCTCTTTTGCGCTCTCTCCTGCTTTAGGTTGGCCACCAGCTACCCCGCTTTCTCTCCTCTCACACTCAATAAACTCCAAAAATTGAAACAAAAGAACAATTACAATTCACATAGTTGATTCTCCAGCAGTCACAAAGAGCTAACAGCTCAATGAGTTTTCACACTAGATGAACACACTACAGCTCAATGAGTTTTCACACTAGATGAACACAGACAGGGCGTTCTGACACACACTGGGCTGAGACGGAAACTTATCTCTGTCTATACGTGGACATATGATTTCCTTATGTGGAGCACAAAGTTTCAACTTGTATACTTTTGAACACAGTTTTTGTGTTATGAGTAAAGATTTATTTCTCCCTTACAAACTTCAAACATTACTAGTTACTAGAATTGCAGAGCCATGAACCAAGAGCATTTCTATGAATCTATAAACCCAGAGCTTGGGAGTTCAAGGCTAGCTAAGGCACTGTGCTCAAAACAAAGCAAAATCAAATTATAAAGTCTCCTTTCAATATACATCCACACATATACACACAAGTAGCACTGACTGGACTGAGTAGGCTCAAAAAAGGAAGAAAGAACACATTAACTTTTCTATCTGTTATATTTCCTATCTGTTATAAAAGGTGTTTCAGATTTTGAGTTTTTGAGTTTCAGATTTTGGAATGTTTGCTTAAAATTCTACTGTGACTTCAGAATTTGAAGTTCATTTCAGATTTCTGATGTTAGGATTAATGATGCTCAGCTTATACATAAGAAGTATTACTATTCTGAATTTGAAAATGAAATTAAAATTCATGAGAGAAAAAAAAAACCCAACAAACCTTAAAAATCCATGAATACTTACTCCACATTCTGCAATGCTTCTACCAATTGGGTCTTCTGATCTGGTGCCATTCTAGCAAACACAGTGCCATGTAACATCAACTAGAAAATATTCAAATTTTTTAAAAATAAATATGCTGTTTACAGTTAGCTCATGAAAACATCCATAAATACATAGTACTTACCTTAGGAACAAGATCTTGAAAATGTTCCAGTATCACTGAAAATGACTTTCCATTCATTGCAAAATGATATCGAGTAGACTGAAGATCTTCTAAACTATCATGGGCAAGTTTAATTGGAATAGCCTAAATATGAAACAATCAGACAATATTCAGGCAGCCATACCAAGAAATAAAGTTCTATGTTCAATATATTTATTCCAAGATTGAATTATCTTACATTATATATTATATACATCACTAAAATCTTAGCATTTGCAGGGGGTGGGGGTGAGGGTGGGGGTGGGAGTGGATGTGCGCACCTTTTCTCCAAGCACCCTGGAGGTAGAGGCAGGTGATCTCTGAGTTAGTTCAAGGCCAGTCTGATCTACAGAGCAAGTTCCAGGACAGCCAGGGCTACATAGAGAAATACTGTCTCAAAAAAGTACAAAACCAGTAACAGAAAACAAAACAAAAACAACAAAAAAACCCAAAACCTTACCATTTACTAAAGAAGAAAAAAAAAAAAAATCAACATTAAGGTTACCTATAATATTTATTAAGAAAAAAAGAAAGTTAAGACCAAATACCAGAGCTGGCTGGCAGTAGGCCAGTAGTCCTGGCACTAAAGAGGTGAAGGCAAGATTTGCTTCACTTTGAAGTGATCTGAGAACTTTTTTTTGTTCTTATTTGATTTTGTTTTTCCAGGCAGGGTTTCTCTGTGTAGCTTTGGCTGTCCTGGAACTCACTCTGTAGACCAGGCCTAACTCAGAGATCCACTGCCTCTCTGGGATTCAGAGTATGACAGCACCCTAGAACTGCATTTTTATGGACTGTCTGCATTATTTACTGCTGATTATGGCTAAAAATGGTTATTTGGGATTCTTACACTTTGAAACTGCAGTTCTCAGTTGTGACTAAACATCAAATTTAAACAGATGTTAGTGATGCCTCTAGTTTCACTTAGATTTTTTTTTTTTGTTGTTGTTGTTAATATTGGGTTTTCCTGTACCATCTTTTTCTTTTCCAGACTAAAGTCAAATGAACAAACTAAGAAAGACAATATAAATATTACCTCTGAGTCAATTGCTGATGGTTCATTACACTGTGTCAGGGAGTCTGCATAATGCCAAGTGATCTTGGCAACTTTCCCATCCTTTGGAGGTAATGCTTCAGCAATAATAACTTTATCCTGAGGTAGAATCATTCCACAGTCTCTGGCTACAGAGACAGCCGTCAACATGTTGTCACCTAATTTTCCAAAATATTTTAAATACATTAGGTTGAAAAGGAACCGTGGGTATATGGAATTATACTAGGCATCTACTACAGTGCCTATGGCTGTCAGAAGAGACCAAGGATGAGGAGGCCCCAAGGTGACCCAGCTGGAAAAGGTGCTCTGCTGCTAATCCCGACAACCTCAATAAAGTCTCAACTTTCACATGGAAGGAGAATGGAAATCTGCAAGCTATTCTCTTGGCTTCTACATATATATACACATATAATACAGAATGGTAGTATAATTTTAAAAATTCTAATCTACGTCTAACAAACACTTGCTAGCCATTTTCTTTGCATATGTCAACACTATATAAACAATCCCCAAAATGAACAAGGCATGCACTTATTCCTCAGGAATTTTATATTACAGCACAAGAAACATTTTTAGATAATTCACATAAGGCAATTTACAACAAGTGGTATAGGAAACCAAACAAAAAGAGAATAAAAATCTTTCAGTTTCTCCTTCACTACTATACTATATTTTCTATAAACAAATTTTGTTAGAAATCGAAGGGAGAATTAGTTATTATCTTGGGATAGGACAATACATGGTAGAGCCACTAAATAATGTGCTTTTACAACTGACCATCCTTCCATATCACACAACTTGAGTTCCTGTACAGTCATGCTCACCTGTGACCATGACAGTTCGAATGTTGGCTTTGTGCAAATCTTCAAGTACTGCAGGGGTTTCCTGCTTTAATTTGTTCTGCATTATAATCAATCCCATAAAATCCATGTTGTTTTCAATGGCATCTCTGAAGAAAAAGAATACACAATGGTTTAGTTTGGACAAAAGGTTGACAGAGAAGTCTAAAATACCAAAATCTAAACTATCCTTAAATTATAAAGTAAAACACTAACATGCTGGCTTAACATGTACCAGTTCACTATCTCCAAAAAATGTAACCCTCAAAAAATAATTTCTAAATAATGTTTTAGTATATTGAAATAAAAACTAACCTCACATGAAATACAAAGATTATCTGGAAATGTCTATCTTTGTAAACATTAATCAGTTCTGGCACTAAGGCATACTCATGTCCAAAAGTGTAAAAGCACAAATCTTTGTCCCATATGACATACAGCCTAATTTAAATGCTAAGGGAGGAGGGCACACCAGGAGCTATTCCAGAAGTACATTAGATACACCTATGATAGATTCATTAAGCCTTAATTCTACAAAGGCCTATAAAATACAATCCTTTATCGTAGCAATATGATAAAAATAACAGATGAAATCTACTCAGTGCACAGATGTATCTTTTAGAATAGTGATATACAAGAGTTATCAGAATGTTACTCCTTGTAATTGAGTGTCTACTATGCACCAGCAATATTCAAGTCCCCAGGTCAACCATTGAGACATTTCTCTAAGAGATGTTTGTAAAAACATTCTTTCAGCACTATCACAGTGACAAAGTCCGTTGGATGACATATAGTTATGAGTGTGTCTTGACGACTAAGTCTCAAACTATCAAAACTGGGAAAGAAAGCCTTAAGTTACCAACTAAAATTTGAGATGTGAAGTCATCAAGTGATTAATCAACAACAGGGATGGAGTATAGCTCAGCCAGGAAAGTGCTTGCCATGAAAGCATAAAGATCTGTTCTGGATTCCCAGCAGACATGTGAAAAGGCAGGCTTGATAGTACACACCTGTAATCCTGGTGTTGGGGAAGCAGAGACAGAAGGACCCTGAAGCTTGCTAGCCAGTTAGTATTGGTGAATTGGTGAGTTCCAGGGTTAGTTAGAGACTGTCTCAAAGATCAAACTGGAAAGCAATAGAGGAAATGCCTACCACTGACCTCTGAACTACAAACACGGAGACCCAAACACACAAACAACATGGGCAAACTCAACAATAAAGATACCTGGGTACTTAACTATGAAATCTAAACCTTCTTAAATAATGAATTTATAACAAATGATAAAGACACTGCAGAGGAAGGGGGGTGTGTGGCTTGAAATCTGACTATTCAAAACACAGTTAAAACAATGTGAAATTACTAGGTTAGTAGCACTGACCAGTTTTCTACTGGGCTCTCAATTCTAGGATCAGCTGATTTCTTAAGATCTTATGAATGCCAAATGTCATGGATATCTTGCACTCTAATGAACTGCACAAGTCTAAAATGTAAAGATTTAAATAATAAGAGAATAGTAAAAATCTATTACTATAAAGCAAAACACAGAGACAGTCTAAAGGAAGAAAACAGGCAAATTTAACAGGGAGGGATAGGTACTTTGATCAAAAGAAACATCTATTCAAGGAAACAGAAAACTCTGAATATGGCAGACAAGAACTCTAGGTGACTGAAAGATGTCAGTAAAGTAATTCAACAAAGGATAGAAACAAACAAGAGAAGAGAAAGAAGGTATGACTCATGATACTCATTGGACAAATTTGTATTTGGTTCTCATTGGGTAGTTTTAAGGAAACTAAACAGTAGAGTCCTTTATTGCTCCTAGAACATGTCTAGCATACAGTAAAAATCTGCTTAACAGGTGGAGGCTCAGTGGTTTAGAGCACTTTTGAAAGGGGACTCAAATTCAGTTTCCAGCAACTACATCGGGTAGCTTACAAATGTCTGAAACTCTTGCTCAAGGGGCTCACTCAACTCACTTCTGGCATCCATAGGCACTATAATCACATGCACAAATACATACCTGTAACTTAAAATCAAAATAAAAAACAATTGGATAAGAATTTCACTTCCATACAAAACAATTATAAACAAACACAAGCAAAAAATGTATGTAGAGTGGGGCGTGGTAGCACATGACTTAATCCCAGTAAATTCTGGGATAGCCAGGACTACACAGAAATCAACTAGAAAAGCAAACAAACAAACAAACAAACAAACAAAAGGGTCAATATAGAATGAAAGTGGAAAAAAAGTAAATCAAAGTTTATTTCCAACACCTAAAACAAAGCTACCATATATACATTCCATACATTCAACCTTCAATAAATATATAATTGAATGCCATTACTGTACATGACTTATAGGAATATAAGGATGCATTATGGGAACTATAGGAAAGCCACTCAGCCTTACCTACTAATATGCTGTACTTTATGCCATGTCAGTTTTGACTCCAATTTTCTATGTGCAAGAGCAATTACACGGAAGCCTTGTTTGGTATAATCTTCTAAAACTTTCTCAAAATCAACTGGAACTTTTAAAAATAAGAGGAAATTTAATTTTAGAATTGCTACTGTAAGATCCTATAAGCATCAGAGTTTACCCAGAGCCTAGTTATTTGCTTACCTGTTTCAGGTTTACAAAGACTGGCAATGACCTCAGGGGCTCCTTTCATGTAGGCATCCATTTTCTTGTCACCTAGTACCCTTGCAACCACACTCATCCGTTGTAAAGCAGAAGAAAATGGGAACTGTCGAACAATTCCTATCTCATAAATAGCCTATTTTAATTTAAAAAAAATGCACAAAGGTTTTACTGTTCTTTAAGAATAAAAGCAAATGTACTTATCTAAGAAGAAGAAGAAAGCATTCTTCACTTACTGGAAGTTCAAACAGCTCCTAAAAACAAGAGAATAAAGTACAGATTAATATACACCAGCTGGAAAAATAAAGTCCACAAAAAACATTTAAGAAATAACAAACAACCGAGTACTTAAGTCAGAACCCAAGAGTCACTCTACAACACCTCCCATGAAAATGGAATGCTGTCAGTGCAGCTTTATGGTATGACCACCTGGGTAGAATGCCTATGGCCTAGGCTTCAATACCTAGCACAGGAGAGAGGGGATAAGATGGGACACCCATTTTCAAATATTCTGGAATCACAAAAATACTTACACATTAAATGAATGAAAGAACATTGGAAAATTCATTTAAGAGTAAAACTAAAAATACCTTTTTATGAATTCTTTTTATGCCAATTCTAGGGATACAAATGCATACTAAAAAGATTAACTATCACATGTGTAAGTGCCAAAGGACAGAAAGGCACTGAGAATTAAATTTCAACATTTATAGAGAATGCCTGTAGCACACCAGGGATAGCCTTTCAGATATTCTCAGTGACAACACCTGTACCTGCCAGGGAGGGTGCCAGGGAGGGTGTCATACACCTATAATCCCAGCACTTGGGAGGCAAAGGCAGGCAGAACTCTGTGAGTACGAGGTCCACTAAGGGAGTTCCAGGAGAGCTTGCAAAGCTACAAATAAACCCTGTCTTGGAAAAAAACAAAATCAAAAAAAACCACCTGTATCTATCTACATGGGATAAGATACCTGACTGCCTCTCCTAGAGATACTTCTCTAGATGATGATGGTGACATCATACCATTTCTTGGTTTCCTGCAGCTGTGGATTCAGGAAGCAGCTGTTTGGAAGGACGAACCACAGTGGGCATAATCCGGTTATGAAGTGCTGTTTCTTCTTCAGTTGCTTCTTCCAAAATCTAAAAGGGAAACATTCCACATAATCACAAAATTCTATACTCGTTGCATTTTAAGTGAGCCATTAAAAAAGAAAGAAAGAAAAAAGGCAATGTTATTAACATAACATAAAAAGCCACACAGATACCTGGTGACTTTTGGATGAGGGTAGAAAGAACCTGGAAGTAGAATAAAGAACAAATGTGAAGCCTGCTGTCCTTCAGAATGAGCTGGAGGAACATGGCTGTTACTTTCTAAGTATCTTTAGCCTATAATACCAGGATTTCCTTTCTGTCAACAAATGATGCAGGTGTGTATGTGTTTACAGGTATACACTTGTAATCCCAATACTAAATAATACCTTAGCAAAAGAATCAAAGTTTAATGCTAGCCTAGGCTACATATTGAGCCTGAGATCAATCTGGACTACTTGAGAGTTTGTCACAAATTTACAAAGATTTTTAGATACAGTTAGTGGAACTACTAAGCAGAAAATAGGCTGTACTAGCTAGTAAGTGACTTTAGAGCCATACCATGAAATCATAAACAGTTAAGCTACTATTACAGTCATAACCTCTTGATTTTCATCTTTTTAGAAATTATTATATGTGTATGGGTATTTTACCCACAAATATATTATCTGTGCACAATGTTTGTACCTCATGCCAATAAAGGCAAGGAGAGGGCATAGGATCCCTGGGACTGGAGTTACAGACAATTCTAAACTGCCATGTGGTACTGGGTATTGAACCTAATATTCTGAAAAAGAATCCAGTGCTCTTAAGCACTGAACCATCTCTCCAGCTCTCAACTTTACTTAAAAACATTTTTTTTTTCTGGGTAAGATGACCCAGGGATTGAAGATGCTTGCTCTGCAGACCTGATTATTTGCTTTTGATCTTGAGAGTCCCATAGTTGAAGAAGAAAACCAAACACACACAACAACAATATTATGTAAGGGGGGAGGGAGGGAGGAGAGGGGTTGTTTTGTTTTTAAAAAAGCCCACCAACTTCTAAGAGGCCAGGGTTGAAGCTCAGCGGCAGATTATGTGCCTAGCATGAACATGCCATCAGGCCAGACACAAGCTCAAGCAAAAGTCTGTATTAAATACAACTGAGCTAATTTGACTCAGTAACTAGAGGAATCCATCAATGAAACACACAATGAAAACTTTTAAACAATTAAATCTACACAATTCCACAAGACACTTTCCCATATCTGACCATCTCAGAAATTAGGATGTATCTTACTATCCCATGATTAGTTTTAAGTCAAGTTTAAGAAAAGGGAACCACAACCAAGAAAATGCTCCAACCAGACTAGCCTGTGGGGCATTTTCTTGATTAAGGATTGATTTGGGTAGGAGGACCTATCTCCTATAGACGGTGCTACCCCTAGGCAGGGTCCTGGGTAATATGAGAAAGAAAACTGAAGCCAAATGTAGTGGCACACACTTAATCCCAGCGCTACTAGGTAAACAGAGGGAGGTGGATCTCTGTGAATTTAAAGTCAGGATGGTCTGTGTGAGTTTCAGGACAGCCAGGGCTATGTAGAGACACCCTGTCTCAAAAAAACAACAAAACAAAACAAACAAACAAAAACAGGCTGAGCAAGCCTTGGGGCACAAGCCAGTAAGCAGTACTCTTCAATGGCCTCTGCTTCAGTCCCAGACTCCAAACTTCTGGTTTTGAATTCCTACACCAACTTCTTTAAATGATGGATGCCATGTGGAACTCTAAGCTCAGATAAACTCTATCCTCCCTAAGCTGCCTTTTGTCATGGTATTTACCACAACCACAGAAACCCTAACCAAAACAGAAATGAGTACCAGGCTACAGGATATTGCTATGACAGGCCTGACCATTTTTTGGAGAGAATTGTGGAAGGACTTTGGAGATTTGAGCTAGAAAAGGCACTGAGGGCTCAGCTCAGTGAGTGGTGAGGGTCTGTCTTGTGAAGATTCAAAGGGAAGAAATGATTCTATCAGGGCCATTTATGCAATATTTTTTTAATGAAGACTCTGTGGTTCTGGTCATCTGGAGCTGAAGAATTGGCTGTGATTAAAAAACATCAGATTAAATGGGTAGTGGTGGAGCATGCCTTCAGCACTCAGGAGGCAGGCAGATTTCTGTGAGTTTGAGGATGGCCTGATCTACAAAGTGAGTTTCAGAACAGCCAGATCTGTTACACAGAGAAATCCTGTCTCAAAAAAACCAAAACCAAAACAAAACAAGACCAGAACCACTAAAGTAAAAACTTTGCTGGGATAGCTGATGCTAGTCAGCTGGGACTGAGGAATTTAAGCAGTGATTATAAAAGACACTAGAATCACTAAGGTGAAATCTTCAGGGACTACTTCCTTAGGGCCAGCACATGGTACAGTCCAGGCTGGGCAAGGCTGCATCTCATGCTGATACCCCACATTGATAATGTGTTAGAATCATGTAGGTGATACTTGTTTGGAAGGCATGAAGGGGGTCAGGAAGAGCAGCTGAGGCTTGGCATTGTGTTAGAGCTGAAGTCTTGTAGGAGAGGCAGGGAGAATCCACGGGTAAAAACATACAACCTAGCACCACAAAAACAGAGTGTAAAGGCCCTAGACAGTACTCAGGAGGTAAAAGCAGGAGGATATCCTCAGCTATACAGCTGTGCTTAAGATGCGCCTACAATACACACACACACACGCACGCACGCACGCGCATTTCAAAAACAAAAAGGTAAAACTTACCCATCCAATGGCTTCAAACATTTTCAAATCAAGTGGATCACCAGAAAGAATGCCTTCAATTTTTGTAAGTGAATGACAAGTAGCCATGCAAGCAACAAATTGAGATTTTACCAACATCTCACTGCAAACATTGTCTTCTGGCGAAAGAAATCTAAACAGAGAATAAACACTGAATTAGGTTTGCAAATCTCTAGACTCAACCAACATTCTAACATACCTTTTCAGGTTTGTAATTAAAAAAAAAATCATCAAACTAGGCCTGGTGGAGGAGATGACTTGTAATCCCAGCACTTGGGAACTAGAGACAGGAAACCAAAGCATTCAAGATCAAAGTGAAAATTACAACAAAATACATGAGACCCAATCTGTAAATAAAAATTTTATGCTAGGTGCAGTGGTACAGGCACAGAAGAGGCAGGGGCCAAAAGGTCAAGAGTTCAGTCCACACAATGAATTCAGACAAGAGTAGGACAGCACTGCTGTCTTAAAACACAACAGAGTAGCTTGGCAGCAAAGAGTTAGACTCTCAGCATGAACAAACACCCCTACCATGAAAAAACAAAAAAAAATAAACCCCACAAAAATAAAACAGAACAAAACAAAAAAGTAAGAACACATGTAAGCTGTATATGTTTACTATATACCAGAAACTGTTTTCTGACTGTTATAAACCCACTCATTTCATTTGCTTTAATTTGTTTACCCCAGACTCTGGATATTGAAGTCACTTACATAAATGTGAGGCAGAGGATCTAACCCTGAACTATATCTCCTGCCCAGGAAGGCATTATTATCCCCACTCTAGAAAAGGCAACTAGAATAGTGGCCAAGCAGTTTTCTGTAAGTTACACAGCCCACTGTTAACAGAGCAAGGACAGAATTAGATTTAATTCCTATGCAAAAATATCTGAATTGCTTTATATTTGAGTATTTGCTACTGCCTGTTCCAATTCATAAAAGAGTAAAGCTTATTTGGGGACATGAATACCACCAGTGCATTTGGCCAAGCAAAAATCACAATCTCTCTACATGGCAGCATTCATAAACTCAGCCACAGGTATATTATATAAATATCCCACTAATGATGACCCTTTAATTTTAAAACTAGGAAACAATTCAAAGAGTCAGCACACATCAATAAAGACAGAATTCCCTAAATCTGAAATAATAAAATGACAATTTGAAAAAAAATGTCCAAAAGGGGCATTTTAAAATCAGAAAGGATGGAGAAATAGCTAAGAATGCTTATTCTTTTTTATCTCCAACACTCATTAAAAAAAAAGTTGCCCATGCCTACAACCCCAGCATTAGGGAGTTAAGACAGGTGGATCCTAAGAGAGGGATGAGCAGTCAACCTAGCTAAAATGATGATCTTCTGATTCAGTTAGAGATCATGTCTCAGGCAGTAGGGTAAGAAGGAATAGAAGAAAACACTCTGTGTTCTGCTCTTTGCATATGCACAGCTAGGACATGCACACTTGAACACTCACACATGCACCAAACACACAAAATTACTTGTCTCAGAAAAAGAACACAACATGGAAAAGAAAAAGAACTGGAAAGAAACAAATGAACATTCACTAAGGATTCCAGGGTGGAAAGAAAACAAGCCACACAGGAAAAGGAAAAAAAGAAGAGAAAGAGGTTAAAATGCACCAGGAGTTGTAAAACTATGAATCTGTGGCGAATGTAGATCAATAGTAGAGTGCTGGACTAGTATGCACAAGGCCTTAAGTTAATCCCTATAAAAGATTTAAAAAGCAGCAAAATGAGATTCCAGCTTATACCCAGTCAGAATGGCTATCAGCAACAAAACAATCAATGATAGTGAAGATGTGGGGAGAGGAAAATTCATGTATTCTTTATTGGTGGGATATAAACTTGTTCAGCTACTATGAAAATCAGTATGAAGGTTCATCAAAAAACTAACAGAATTACCACAAAGCCCAGCTGTAACACTCTTGGATATATACACGAAGGATTTTAAGACTATGGATATCCAACATATCACAGAAATCTGTAACTTTCAGAACAGGTGTGGCAACCCATGCCTTTGATCCCAACAGAGGCAGTAGGGTCTCTGAGTTAAATAAAGATCAGCCTGGTTTACATAGTGAGTTCCAGAACAGCCAGGTCCGTCCACACAATCAGAAAAACACTTTTAACATACATGTATGTTGACGTATTAGTCACAACAGCTAAGAAATGGAACCACCCACATGTCCATCAATATGTGAGTGGATAAAAAAAAAAGTTCTACAGATAAAACTTTATTCAAAGAAAACTCACATTTATAATAAAATGGATAGAACAGGAAATCATTATATTAAGTGAAATAAGCCAGACTCAGCAAGACAAATCACACTTTTCTCTCATATGAGGTATCAAGATTTAAAATTGTGTGTTTTGGGGGAGGGGGAAGGTGATTGTGTGCGTGTGCGTATAAAAGATATGAAACTAGAAAGAGAAACATGAGAGGGGAGGAAGAGCTTTTAAATGGAAAAAAGAGGGCAATGTCATACATGTGACATGAAAGCAGGTGAGACGGAGAGAAGAAGGAAACACGTATGGAGAGATAGTGTCAGGGGGAGCAATGGGGCAGAAGGATAAATCAGAACAAAGCAAAATACATATGAATGATAAAAAAAAAAAAAAAGCCATGCTAACTGAAAAACAGTTAAAGACAGCTCAGCTTCGAGTAAAGGTGCTTGCCCCACAAACATGATGAGCCACCATGACTGACAACCTGAGCCTTAGTTCCAGCCCCACATGCTGAAGACAAGAACCCACTCCTACAAGTTGTACTCTCTGACTACATGCCCACTCCTGTCTACACATACAAACCATAAAGTTTAAAAGGTATCTGAAACATATATCTAGCTAATATTTACCGGGTATTTTCCACTCGCTGAATTCCCCACAGATCTAAACCATCTTCAGTAAGAGTTCCAGTCTAAAATAAAAAAAAAAGTACACATGCACAAAGTAAGGACAACACCTCACAAAAAGGAAAATACAATGCTAAGACTCAAATCAATAACAACTATGATACATATACACAATGGAAAGGCAGGAGCTTGTAACTGCCAAAGAAACTGCAGACCAGTACTTGCACTATAACTCCTTCAAGTACAAGAAGGCACCTACTTGCATTAACTACATTTACTCATGTTCTGACACTATAAACAAAATGTACCAATTAACCTACCTACCTATCAACAAGCAGCACCTGTTGATGTAATGGTAGGATTGCATAGATTAGCGGACAAGGAGCCAAGAAGAAAATTTAAACACCAAAATAAAGCTAATAGTTAAACCCAGGCTTTAAAAAAAAAAAAAAAAAAAAAAAAAAAAGACTGGTTTTCTTCAACAAAATGGTTGAGGACTCAGTAAAATCATAGACATTAAAATACATATATTTATGAGTAATTTTTTAAAATCACAGAAGTACATATTCACAGAGGCTATTTTATTACATTAGAATTACCTAAAAATACAAAAGACCATATAATTTTTTACTTATTACCACTACATCTTGAGTTTTAAATTTTTAAAATTAATTTTTTTTATGAGTATGGGCATTTTGCCTGCATATACATCTATCTGTTCATCCTGTGCATGCCCGGTGCCCCTGGGGGCCAGAAGAGGGCACCAAATCCCTTGGAACTGAAGTCATGGAAGGTTGAGATACCATGTGGGTGTTCAAATTCAGGTTCTCTGGTCCTCTCTGCAACAACAGTCTCTTAAATACTGGGCATCATCATCTCTCCACACCCATCTATCTTAAATTGTATTACTAGCAGATGTTGAGGCAGAGTCCATGTTGCCCAGATGGCCTAGAATCTTGGGCTCAAGCTATCATCCTGCCCCACTTTCCCAGATGCTAGCACTACAAGCATACATATCCTTGAAAAAGGTGTGTGTATGGAAGGGGAGAGGGGAGGTACTGGAGATGGCTCACTGGGTTAAGAATAAGGGCTGCTCCCATAAGACTTGGGTTCACTTTCCTGGCACCTACAAGGTGGCTAGACAAGGGGCTCTCTTCTAGCCTGTGGACACTGTTATATAGACAAAGATGTAGGCTAAATACCCATGCAGAAATGATGGGCAAAGGGGCCAGGTATGGTGGTGCATGCCTTTAATCCCAGCAATGAGGAGAGCAGAGGAAGGCAGATTTCACTAAGTATGAGGCAGACTTGGTCTACACAAATGAATTCCAAGCCAGCCAGGGCTATATAGTAAAACTTGTCTCCAGAAAGAGGGGAGAATGAAGAAAAATATTCAAAAATCTGTATATGCTAAGTAACTGGAAAGAGGGGAAAGTACAGAAACATTAAAAATAATGGCAGATTAATTCATAAAAGAAATACAAATGTCAATATTTAAAAGTAACACAATGATTATGAAGCCAAACCAACCTTGTCAAAGCAAACAAGATTCAGCTGTCCACAGATATTTATCCTTTGGGGACTGATACAGAAAATCCCAACTTTTTTCAGTCTTCTCTGAGCATATACAATTCCAGCAGTCATTGCAGCAGGAAGTGCAGGTGGTACAGTAATTGTAATTATATCAAGAGACTTAATAATTATTTCCTGAACTTCTTTCTACAATCAACATAAAAATAAACATCAAACTCACAATATTTACTAATTTAATGAAAACAATCAACACTTTTTTATATTTATGTAAGTATATACATCCATATTATTGACATAATTTCTTCATTCAAAGATTCTGTAAAAGGGCTGAGGCATATAACGGTAACCTAGCATGTTTAAGGCCCTAGGTTAAAATCTTAATGCTTTTGGGGAATTCTTAACCAATAGAAAGTTCAATTGGCTAGCCAATGAACTAACAGCAGCTAAAGAAGACAAGCATGCACTCTCAGGAACTCTTGTCTCATTCTATCAGCTTGCATTCTTCACATTACTACCTTCAAATCAAGCTCAACAAACCTTATCTGATACTCTCATCTTACAAGCAACTGGACAGTCTCTCCAAAAAGCTAGAAATAAAATCAGGTGTGGTCTCTTATATGAGCCTTCAATTAAGTGTTCAGAAATAATTTTAGTAAGCCAGAAATGGTGGTATACACACCTGTAATTCCAGCACCCAAGAGGCAGAGTTAGGAACAGAATATAGCTAAATAAGCATGACAGATTATTATTGTATATATTATTTAAACTTATTCTACAAATAAGAAAAGGCTTTTTTTGGTGCGTGCTTCTTACCACATAAAGTACGAGACATTCTGAAGAATTATATGCTAGGATGGGAATGTCTTATACTTGCAGGAGTTTTGTTGTTGAGAAAGGCTCTTACTAGACAGCCCAGGATGGCCCAGAACTTCCAATTTTCCTGCCTAGGCCACCCAATATATTTTTGGTTTCCAATATAATAGATACCACTGCCATAGATTTAAAATTAACTTCAACCACATGTAAAACAATTAAGAACAAAACTTATCAAAAGTTACATACCTTATTTAAAATGCTGTTGATGATTGTGTAAATAAACCCAATGCCAGCCACCACCACAAGACACAGCAGAAACAAGTAGGCATCTCTATAGAGTTTAAAATCAGTTGGCTTGGGATAGAGTATAGAACGAACAAGCTGTCCTTTGGAAGTACTAAATCCTTTCAAAAATGGAAGAGGAAAATTACTTCTTTTTATGAGAATTACCTCCCCAGTCAGATTTCAAATTCAAAAGAGGTATTATCTACCTGTTCTAACTACTATGGCTTTCACAAGTTCTCCAGTGTAGAAACGGGTCTGAATAACAGTTGTCCCACAAAACAGAGTGTGTCGTTTATGTGTCTCTGGACTGTAATACTCCTCCCCAGTTCCTTTTACATCCACTGAAGGATTTGGCAAGTTAGTCTTTGTCACTGGAACACTTTCCCCTGTTAAGAAAATCAAATGTTAAAGGAAAGCTTAGGAAAAAATACTAAAATATTTTAAATGTTAATACCACTCCTTATAATAGTTAATAACTGCTCTATAGATGGACAACATGGTGTAACTGATCAGCTTTTTGTCCATCAATTGGTTCACTGAGAAATACCAAGCCATTTCCCACAGTAATTCAGAGTGATTCATGATTCAGAAATAATGCCTGCCATTATTTGAAAACTGTTTTTATGATTTTCAAAAAAATTCAAAAAACTAAGGAACACATTCTTAAAACCAGTGATGGCATAACATCTTTAACCACCACTAGGCAGAAACACACCACAGGAACACAGAAAATATGAGCAAGAGAGAAAGAGTATTAGAAGGTCTTTCTTTTTGCAATTTAATTCTCTTTAGCATTCACATTTCTTCAAAGAGTATATAAATCTATGTGTGACCTTGTGTGGTTTCAGCCTCAAAATATAGCATGTAAGAAATAATTTCTAGCCAGGTGGTGGTGGTGCATGCCTTTAATCCCAGCACTCGGGAGGCAAAGGCATGATATCTCTGTGAGTTCTAGTTCTAGGCCAGCCTGGTCTTCAAATAGAGTTTCAGGACAGTCTCCAAACCTACAGACAAACCCTGTCTCCAAAAACGAAAGGAAGGAAGGAAGGAAGGAAGGAAGGAGGGAGGGAGGGAGGGAGGGAGGGAGGGAGGGAGGGAGGGAGGGAAGGAGAGAAGGAGGGAGGGAGGGAAGGAGGGAAGGAGGGAAGGAGGGAAGGAAATAATTTCTAGCCAGATTTTAAAATTCACAATTTAAAAACTGAAAGATCTACATCTAGATTGTGATTTTTCAGTAGTTACCTTAAAAGGCTTATTTATTTCCACTTTTCACATATGAACAGAAGTCAAATACGTTGCAATTTCTGTAGGCAAGGACTTCTTTCTGCTTCCCTTACTATAAACTATTTCCCTATGTCCAAGGAGTGGCAAGAAGCAGGCCCAGGCATGTGGTCAATACCAAAATAGTGATTTAGCACTAGTTTTTAGCTCAGAATGTAGTCTACTCACACATACAAAATCACTACCAATCACATTTGAGTAAAGGATAGAAATGATATGATTTTGAAAAAGTTTAAACTACTTAATACTAATACCATCATAAAAACAAGGCATGATATTGGTGACTCCATTTACCTGTTAACATGCTTTCATTTACAATGCAAGTACCATTAATAAGTACTGCATCACAAGGCATGACTGTCCCATTTAATGGAATGATCATGACATCTCCCGGCACAAGGTCTGTAGAAAAGATTTCTTCTATTTCTGAATTTGAAAATAAAGTTAAAAGAAATTATTCTTTAATTTGGAATAAAAACACAGCAAATAAACAAATGACCTATCCAAAAGTCTCCTGTCCTCAGTAAGCTACTGAATCAGTGAATACATTAACACAGCATCAAGGCTGGAAAGATGGCTTAGGGGTTAAGATCACTGGCTGTTTTTCCAGGAGATCTGAGTTCAATTTCCAGTAACAACAACATGGAAGCTTACAACTATCTTTAACTCCAGTTCCAGAGAATCTGATACTCTCTTTGGCCTCCACAGGCATCAAGGTATGTCAGCTAGCTTGTCTCCTGACAAGATGCTGACTAAGCACAGGTAATAGCACCATACTCTTGTGAATCAATTTTGGCTATCTGTCACCTTAAAATACAAGTGTAAGTCCACATAGGACATTCTGCTAAACAGGCAAAATGAATTTAGGTTTCTATAATTCCACAGAAACTAAAGAAAACATGAAAAATGTGCCATATTTTCTTTTCAAAGGTATTCTTACTATAATTTATGTCTCACCCCTTCTCAATGTTTTAGTCTTTTAAATTATTAAAAATACAGCAAGCTAAATTGATTAAATATATAATGTCAATTAATCCATTATGTCTCTGAAAATTTAAATCAAACATTGAAATTCCAGCATTTTGAAGGATGAAAAGGTAGTAAGACCATGAATTTGAGGCCAGCCTATCAAGACCGCTCTCTCAGGTCTCTGTACATGTAGACTTAAAAACCTTAAAGCTGGGTGTGGTGGCTCTTTCCTGAAAAGTACCAAAACTATTAGGCTGCCTAACAATCATAAGTTTTTGTAGCAGCAAGATCAGAAATTCGAAGTCATCTCTGCTATATAACAAGGTCTAGGCCTTTTTGTTTGTTTAAACAGAAACAAACAAAAAATAATAATCCTACCAAAAATTAGTAAGATGGCAATAAGTGTGGGAGATCCTAGTGAGAGAAGGAAGTGACTGAAGAGAAGAAGGAAGACTATCGCTTGGGAGGGGGGTGCGGACATAGAAAATAGAACTCTGGAGAAATGAAAAGTGAATACTGCCTCCAAAGACCATATTATGCTATCCTTCACTTCTTCAGTATCATAGACAGCTTATATGTTTCATCTCTCTTCCTATAATCATTGCTTCCCTTTTACTATGCCCCATGTAACAACACTAACATCCACCTACCCAGCTGCATAGATCTGAAGACCTCAGTTTCAATTATCACTAAGTCTTGTTCAATGCCCACATTTCAAACCCATGTCCTTTCTTGCTAACTCTACAACCCTGTTCTCAATCCAGATGATGCCTTCAGTACTGTCTAAACATGGAAGCCAGACTTTTTAAGGACAAACAGGATGGGATCTGCTTAAAGCCCTTTAGAAGAAGACAGTCTTAACTTCAGGCCCCTGGGTACTTAATATCGTCTCCTCCTCTTGTCTTATGACTCCTCACCTGTCTTAAATTTGGCTAACTGAAACAGTCATTCTTAGACTTCAAAAAAAATCCACCCTGAAGACTCTGAAGCACTAGTGTTAAGTGCTCACTGTATCCCACAGTAATCACCACACTTAGCTTTCCTAGAGCATGGCAAAGTGCCTCTACACTACACAAAGCAGTACTTACAATGTCCTATAAAAGAACGAACTGCCCACAAATCCAGGAATCTAAATGTATATTTTCAATTCTGAAGAAGGAGAAAGAAGGGAAAAGAGGAAGAAACAGTAATAGGGCTGGTGAGGCAGCATAGAGTAAAGGTGCTTGCCACCAAGCCTAATGACCGTAGTTCAATTTCAGGACCCCTGTGGTAGGAAGAGAGGGGATTCCCACCGGCTGTTTTTCTGATTTCCATACATATGCCACTGCACACACATACAATTAAGTAACGCAATTTTAAAACTATGCAAATACACATACAAAATGATCTTACTTTACATGTGAGCATTTAATTGGATGTTTTCATTCACTTTTTCAAAGCTCATCAGAAGTACTTACCTTCATTTACTCTACAAACTGAAACTCTCACGGTACTATGAGTTGCCACCATGTCATGTAACATAACATATTGCTGAAAGAAAAATGAAATTAAAAACTAATAATACAAATATGTTCTCAGGATACTTGAAAAAAAAGAAAGCTCAATTACTGTAATCATGTTTTTACTGTTCTGCCTACATAAAAAGGTCAAAAATCAAGAGACAGGGAGACGATTCAATGGTTAAGTGCTTGCTACTTGTGGTTTGAATGAAAATGGTCCCCAAAGGCCCATTGGGGAGTGGCACTATTGGGAGGTGTGGCCATCAGGGTTTCAAATGCTCAAGTCATACCCAGTATCACTCTCTCCTGCTCAGCTACCTCTCCAACACCATGTCTGTTTACATGCCACCATGGTTCCTGCCATAATGGCAATGGACTAAATCTCTGAACTGTAAGCCAGCCCCAATTAAATAGTTGCCATGGTCATGGTGTCTCCTCACAGCAACAGAAACCCTAACTAAGACATGACTCAAGTTCAGATCTGAGCATCCATGTGAAAGCCAAATAAATGGGCATGGCAGCCTGCCTATAATTCTAGCACTCAAGAGGCACAGTCAGGGGATTCCTAAAGCAAGCTGGCTAGCTGAACTAGTTCAGTGAGCGAGCTCTGGATTCAACTGAAACACTACCTCAATGAATAAGGCAGACAACAATCCAAGAAGATATCCAGTATCAATATGAGGTCTCCAGGAACTGCACTCACTTACATGTGAACACATACATGTACATACCCCAAAAATTTAGGAATCCAAGAATTACTGTTTTAGCTCAAAACAAAGATACACTTTAAATGAAGCAGTCTTGAGAACAATGGCACTATCTTTTAAACACTTCAGTCTTTAATAAGCAGATACAGATGCCTACAACTTCTGAATAATCATGTAGTAATAGGATTATACAAACACCTAAGATTGCAGATCAGTGAGCATATGCAGTCTTAAGTTCAAACTCCAATAACACAAAAAACAAGTATTTGATTCCTCCCACCCCTCTGCCCACCCCCACAATTCCCCAAAGAAAAAAGCCAGGACTGAAGAGATGGCTCAACTGTTAAGATCACCGCCTACTCTGGTTGATTCACATGACCCACACAGTTGCTCACAATCTCCTGTATGTAACCTTAGTCCCAGGGGATCCAATAATGTCTTTTGGCCTTTGCAGGCAACAGGGACACTTGTGGTGCACTGACATAAATGCAGGCAAACACCAGTACACATTAAAAAAAAACTTCCAAAGGCCAAGCATAAAGCAGGATTGGTTAGCTGTAAAGGCTACCCTAGCTACCTTATCTAAATGAACAAACCAAAGAAATCTGTATGTGTACTTACGCAAATATAACATTAAATGTATTTTATACCAAGTACTATGCATTCTACAAGCCTTATAAGTTACTAAAAATGCAAATATATTTCTGAAGTAAGTATATAAATTCTGACTTACCTTTCTAATGGAATACAGTGAGCTTATAATGGATACTATGGACATAATCACAATGGCTAGAGCATAGTAATAATATTCATCAATGCTCCACAAGGTAACACTGAACAGCTGGAAAATGTAAAATGGGTTGAGAACCTGAAAAACAACAAAAAAGGATACATTAACAGCCAAAAATGGAGTAAGATATGTATGAACAGTAGATTTTCTACTACTTTACTAGAGCAGTAGATTAGCACAAAGGATGAGTTCTGCCTTTGCCTCCCAAGAGCTGGTATTAAAGGTGTGCACCACCACCGCCTAGAACTTTTTTGATCCTACACTTTTTAGTCAATACACTAAACCATGTTTGCAGGCAGCACTAAATGGCTATTCTAAGAAACTGGTGGAGAACAATCATATTTCTAATAAAGTATCCACCCAATACAAATTTTTATCTATAGCCAAAAACAAGAACAAAAAAGACTGGCAAGCTTTCCTTTGCTAGGCAGTTACTCACCAATTTCCTCTACATAGTCATAACCCTTTACTCAAACAGCTAAGGCAGTTTATAAATGAACTCTCACTGTAAGAATTAACATGTTCCTTTCATTTCCAACATGAAGCGAAGATAGGAACAAAGGGAGAAGTTAATACACTTGTAAGACAGGAGATTTGGATGTGATGATATATATACATGAGAAAAGAAACAAAATTACACACTCTCATCTTAGAAAAGACTTTTTTTCCACTTTTACTTCCCAAGTAAAATATGAAGCAAAATTAAAGAGCAGAAAACCAAGAATATCTTCTTATACATGACTCTTTCCCAACTGATGAGTCTACTGTTGAGTTATATACAACAGTCTTACCTCTTTAATTAGAAGCTTAAAAACAGAAGGCACTTTCACAGCAATTTCATTTACTCCATAAAGCAACTTTCTATGACAGAAAAATACAGTAATTGTATTAATAATATGATTTAGGAAAAGAATTATGTTAAGATATAATTAAAGCCAATAGTGCTTAGATTTGTGGTTTTAAATTAGTATGTTTCATGACTAAAGTTCTCTACTTTAAAAAATAAAAAAGCTGCTCCTGGACGGTGGTGACACAGGCCTTTCCAATCCCAGCAGTCAGGAAGCAGAGGCAGGAGTATATCTGTGAGTTTGAGGCCAGCCTGATCTATAGATGGAGTTCCAAGTTACCCAGGGACACACAAAAAAAACTGGGGAGGGGGGAGGGAGCGTGCACAGACGGGGACACTGAAATAAAAAAGCTATCCATGCTATTGAAACCAAAGGAGTCAATAATAGCAACCAAACTTTTAGCAGTTTACATCATTTTGACTTACATGTTTACTATGACAAGTATCTTTCTGACTGGTCAAAAGACTCACTTTGTTATGTCTAGACTGTCCTGAAACTTACTATATATATAGCTCAGGCCACCTTCAAACTCACAGGAATCCTCCGGTCTCAGATTCCCACGTGCTGGAAACTACAGGTGTAAGCCACCATAACTGACTAAAATGCTCTTCTTGATAGGAAGGAGGTGGGGGGGGGGGGAGAGAAACTTCATTTTTATGTCAGTGCATAGTGTTCTGCCTACCCATCCGTGTCCATGCATTACATGTATGCAATATCCAAGGATGCCTAGGGAGAGCGCTGGATCCTCTGGAACTGCGATTACAGACAGTTGTAAACTGCCATATGGGTGCTAGAAACCAAATCCAGGTCCTCTGAAGGGCAATAAGTGCTCTTAACCACCAGTACATCTTCTCCAGCCCCAAACAGAACAAACTATACTAAGATTTAAATCAATTACAACTAACTTTTTGTAAGAAATTAAATATATTTGAAGAATCTTACAACTTTTTTTTAGGGAGAATACCTCACTAATCAAGTTCATTTCAAAACACTGTACATTTGAAATCTTTTAGAAAACATTTTCTTAGAGTTGCTTGGAGGCTGGGGATGCTGCCCCATTAACAGAATGACCACCAGCCATGCACAGGGCCCTGGCTTCAATGCCAAAAATTGTATATACCAAGCATTGATTGTGTGGTGCTTCCCTGGAAGCCCAGCGCTTGGGTAGGAAATGTAAGATCAGGAATTCACATCCATCCTTGGCTACATGTTGAGGCCTTGTTAAAGCAACACAGGGGAGCTCTCAGTGTAGAATATAGAGTGCTACCCTTTTCCTGGTCCCTCTAAAACCTTAAATTCTTCATTTTAATCTCTTGTAAGAGTATGCTTTCTGTGCTGTTATATAATTATAGCCTTTTATTCGGTGTTAAATCAGAATTTTTTTTTGTTCAAACACTGAAAAACATGTTACAATAGTTCAAAAAAATTTCAGTTTAATCCAAAAACTACATTTATCTTTAAAATATGTCAATACACTAGCATATTTTTATACTTAAACCAATAACACAAAAAAGCATGGCTCCCTGTTTAGTTTCATGGTGGGAAATCCCAGCTCATGTTTACAATTCCAATTACAGAACACACCATTATCTCACGAGACTGAGAATGACACTCCACCCACAACAACACATCCCAATTTCAGAGATAGGAAAATGTGGGAAATTTTGCATCTTAAAATTGATGAAACAGTAATCTTGGGAATATTAGCTTACCATTTTTATAATTTTCAAACTAACAGTTTTGCTCAAACTCTTAGTAAGGACATAACTAACAATATTGCTGTTTTATTTACGTACCTATACTATATGACAGAGAGTTGGCTATATACACACTTGTAAATTTAGAAATTTTGAGAACAGATCTACTGTAGTTGGATAAAGTTACCTGTAGGCATGCATCCCCTTTGTCAGTCCTGCACTATGCTTTTCATAAATGGATGTACAAGAAACACCTTCATCCAGTCCCCTAAATAAATCCAAAGTTTTAACTTTAAACAAAGTTTAAAATATCCAAATTTATTAATGCCTCATTTTGCTATATGCGTGATTTTCAAACTGTAACTTCCTTACAAACTTCTGAGAAATTCTTAACAATAAAAACAGAAATCATGAGAATTTTAAAATCTCAAAGTGTAACAATAATGGTCTAAGTCTCAAACATAACTATGTCATCCACTGTATTTGTAATACTATATAAATGTACATCATAGCATTATCCTTTAACAGTTTCCAAAGCTTATGAGTCACCAATCAAACTAATAAAACTTAAGACTAATAAGAATCCAAACTAAAGATTTTTTTTAGTTCTTATCCTGTTTCTTCTTTATATTTTTAGTTTTAAATTAAGAAATCATATTCACTTTCTTCCACAATGCACCAATATAAATTCTTTCCTGAACTATTACATACCTGGTTTCAAAGTATAGTATTTACAATCATAAATGTCTAACACCTAGAACAATCCTAACTAGGATCCAACTAACATATTTACTTCCCCCCCAAAAAAAAACATAATTATACTTATTTTAACTGATACCAGCCAAATATCTCTAAAGCAAAGAGAAGTAAGCGTTAATCTACTTATTCTCTACATTTTACATATAGAAAAGCCAAGCTCTACAATTTGTTGACACCATTAGGACTAAGTTTAAATTTTATAAATTTCAATGACTGACAGACACCAAAAAACAATTATATTAGATATTCTTCCCACCAGAGCTGATGACTTCTCCACAATGCAGTACAAAGACAGACTAGCAACTATGTATTTTTAAAGAGACTGCAGGACATTGGCATTTTTCCATAAAGCAACGGTTCTTCAACCTTAGAACCAGGTATAAGAAAACCATCAGGCCCATTCCAGAACATTGTAATTCTTTAGAATTTCAGGTAAGCATTAACTTAATCATTTTTGATTCTTGTTTTTACTGTTAAGACCTACAAATGTCTCTGGCATTCTAAAACAATGATATTTAGTGAGAGGTTAAAATAACAGTAGGCTAAGACAGGAAATTGGATACAAAGTGAGCAAAATAACAAGACCCTATTTTTTAAAGAAAGTCTAAACCATAAAGTATTTATTTAACTTGAATTCTACACACAAAACAAAATAAGGGATTACTCCAATTTGTCCTATCCAGTGCTCTTTCTCAGCAACATAGTAAAGTTTTCTAACTATGTATTACATGGTTCTCCGATTACAAATAAATGGGACCAACAACAGAAAGAAGTAATTCAGAACTCTAGAAAAAACCATAGGGTTTGGGGAGTAGGGCTCAGTGTGAGCCCCAAATTCAATCCTAAACCCAGTTCACACCAAAAATAAAGTAAAACAATAACAACATCAATCAAGTAGAAAACCCAAGCTGCGAGGATACTAAAAATCTGCATGCACCTCAGCATCCATGACCGCTGGGGATTCACTGGTATGTACCACAGGCAAGTACTTAGCTTTCTCCTAAATTTCATGTGCATGTTTCCATGGTACAAGTTGCAGTGACACTTATTTTCAGTAAGTGAATAAAAGTAATAAAACAAGTCTCTGATTTTTATGTAACAACAGGATACAGCCTCTTTTACTAAAGCATTTTCAAAATATTCATAGTATATTCCAAGCAAAAGAAAGATACTTACTTTAAGAAATCAAAATTGTGAATGGTATCATTCCAGAAATATTTTACGCTATGGTGGGTGAAATATCGCATCTGCAGAATACACATAAACATTACATCAAAAGGCTTCACATCACTTCTTATAACATCATTTGTTTCTATTAGACCTTAAGTTTTATTTAGTGGCAGATATTTTACAAAGCATGTAATTTTATTTCAAGCAGTAACTGCAAATGCAAAATTATGATCTACCTTTGACAATATAGAATGTTAACTATGTTTTTCTCAAAGAAGCTTTGATGCTCATACAGTACCTGTTGTAACTGAGTCTGTGAGTATTTATTTATCTCACATCTATCTTCTTCAGTCAGATTCTCAGTTAAATGAACAGCATGGCCATTAGAAACCTTATTAACTAAAGATTTTGCATTAAAATCTGGTTGATTTTCCAGATGAAGAAAGCGAATTTTTGCACAAAACCACATTTTAAATTCGTCCTTGGAAGAAAGGGAGAAAAGTCAAGTTAATTATGAATATTAAATAACTGCCTGTATTTTTACATAAATCCTACTATTTAAAAGTTTAGTCATCTCTTGCTGAGTTAGTATCATTTCCTACTCATTTAACATGAAAAATTTCTGATCAACTTTAGCACACTACCAGTACAACTATCAACAGATTCTATTAAAGTTAACAATTCCTTAATTTAATTCAAATATATACTGAACATTAACTATTTATTACATCCTTCCCCCCCCCCGACCCCCACCCGCCAAGACAGGGTTTCTCTGTGGCTTTGGAGGCTGTCCTGGAACTAGCTCTGTAGATCAGGCTGGTCTTGAACTCACAGATCCACCTGCCTATGCCTCCTTAGTTTTGGGATTAAAGGCAGGCACCACCACCGCCCAGCTACATCTTCTTATAAAATGTTTTCAACTGGGGTTCTAAACAAAGTGCTTAAGATGTAACATCACAGCCAATAGCTGGCTTAGTCAATGAGGGGTCTGAGCTATCTACAGTCCTAAAGGGCAGAACTCCAATTTGTCCTATCCAGTGCCAATACCCTAGTCATAAAGAGTTGTAAGATAGCCTCATCAGATTTAAGATTCTTTTTAACCTAATCACCAAAACAGTATTCACAAAGCCATCCCAGAGAAAAACTAGACATTCCAAAGTCCCAGTCCCTTACTTTGAACCATTTACACAAAGTCACTTGAAAACTAGCTACTGGTAAAGACATGCACGACTTACAGTAGTCCTGAGCAGCACCACTTCACAGTCCTTCACTGCAGCTCTAATACATGTGGCTTTTACTCGCCACTCAGGCATCCAGTAGAGGAGGAGGAGGAGAAAACCACCAGTACAAATCACCCCTATAGAAACCATGACAAGCTTCCAGCGGCATAAGTTATAGCCATGTATCTCCTGCACAGAAATGGCAATCACATGATTAATGAGCAAATGATAAGGCAGATAAACTAAAACTTGTTTCCAAGATACATTATATATATTATTTTATGTGTATGAATGTTTTGCCTATGTGTCTGCCTGTACACCATGGGTGTGCAGTGCCCTTAGACAAGAAGGAGCTCTGGAAATAGTGTTACAATTAGTTGAAAGCCTCCATGTGGATGCTGAGAATCAAACCTAAGTCCTCTAGAAGAGCAGCCAGTGCTCTTAACCACTGAGCCATCTCTCCAGTCCCATTCCTTGTAACTTTTATCATTTCATTATTTTTTAAATTTAAGTCTTTCATAGATCTTTACAAAATAAAGTTTTTATTCTGCAACCATTTCAGACACGCAGAAGATGTAAAAACTTAAGTGTTTCTTACAGACCATCCCATCCAGTTACCTCTGACCCTAATTTCTGGTGCTTCTGTCAAACCCACACTGCCTTACTAGTGTCAACTACACTCAATGTCATGATTTGACCAGTTTTTCTACTTACATCTTGTCCCATGACACTACATTCCCTGACTGACTAATTGAGATGGTTCAGACATTAAAAGTGCTGACCATGATACAGTCTCACAAAGGAAAGTGATGTACCCAAGGAAGGCTGGCTCCAACTTATTTATGACCCTCCTCTGCCTCCTACATTGTGGATTTCAAAGTATTACCATGCGTCAGCACCACATTGTTTTTGGACGTTTGTCAGTTTGATTTTAAGTGACTTGCTAATTTCCAATACCACTGTAATTGACCAACTTCACTTCCTAACCCAAATTGTTTTAAATGTTCTTAAATTCTCACCCACAGTGGCTGCCAAATAAAATATTTCAAATTGAAGGCCTCATTTAGTGTAAATTTCAAATAAGTAGTGGAAATTTTTGTTTATCCTTTGCCAGAATCCTTAACATGGTGGAGACACATGCCTATGATCTCAGCACTCAGGGAAGACTAAGTCAGGGGAGGGCTATGAGTCTTAGGCCAGCTTGAGCTATAGCAAGGAGAAAACTTTATTATTTTAAAGGCATCTATTTTACCTGATAAATACTGAGAAGTTTTTGTTTTAATTAAGCTTTCAACTTTATAAACACAAAGAGAAACCTTTACTTGGGGAACCAGCAAGATGTACCAGAGTATAAATGTGCTTGCCAGGCATGCCTCCTGACTTGAGCTCAATCCCTACAGCTCACAAAACTCTTAAAAGTTGTCTTCTGACCTCCACCACATGCACACATGTATCTACATGTGGACACAAAAATAATAAAACATACTTTTTGAAATTTTTAAAAATAAACAAACAACCTAGGTGGTGGTGGCACATGCCTTTAACCCCAAGATTTATGAAGCAGAGGCAGATGGATCTCTGGGTTCAAGACCAGTCTAGTCTACAGAGTGAGATCCAGGACAGCCAGGGCTACACAGAGGAATCCTGTCTCAAAAAAACTTAAAAACAAAATAATAGTAATAATAACAACAACAACAACAAACACAACCATCTCAATTCAAAAACTCAATTAATTCTGGTCAAGTCAGGTATAATGGCAAGTGCCTTTGATCCCTGAACTTAGAAGACACAAACAGGTAGAACTCTTGAGACTGAACCTGGCCCATCTATGTAGTTAAGTGCAAGGCCAATAAGGGCTTCACAGAGACTTTGTCTAAAACAAACAAAATGTGTGTGAATGTGCACATATATACACATACACACCCACACACACCCACGGGCACACATACACAACCTTAATTAGGATACAAAAATTCAGATATGTGTGTTGTAGGTAGGTGTTTCACTAGAGATCAAACCTAGAGTCTCAGCACATTAGCTGGGCAGATGCTCTACCATTAGGTTGTACTCCAGCCTACATTGGTTTTTCTTTAATTGTATCTTTTTACTTCCTAGGAAATTATGAAAGCTAGTTACCATTTCATCTTCTTGACCCTTGTTGATAGTCTTCCTTTCTTCTTTGTCCATTTCTACAGTGACCTGGAAGGTGCTGTGCTTCACACAACAGGTGAAGATAACTGCAGGAAGAAAGGAAACAAATGTTGGCTTTCTTTAAAAACAGATCTTGGCTGCTGACCAGAATTAGTTGTTACTAAAACCCCACTGCTAATGACAACACAAAGAGAAATCAAGTTGGAACTGAGCTAGAAAATGTCTCCCTGTAGAAAACTTTCCTTCCAGAAGGTGTTAGATATACAAGCCGCTACTGGAAAAAAGTTATCAACAGTCTTACACAGGTATGGACTCTGTACACTACAATACCAAACTGTCAGGCAAAATATCCACATGGGTACAACAGGGTCTTGACTGTTAAGTACATAACCAACTACTTTCTGATTGGATTTGGGGCCCATCCCACAGGAAGAAATTCATGCTTTGACCTGTAAAGTCCATTGATGGGGAAGTCTCAGGCCCTTGGGGGGAGGGGAGATAAACCTATTATTCTTTGTTCAAACAACCTTTCAAATGTTTGTTTATACCCATAGATTATTTCTGCTCTCAACTTAGACAGAGGAGCTTCTTTCCCCAGTTAATAAACAGACTCATAACTGATAGAGTAAGTAACTGTTGAGAGCTCAGCCCTAAACATGACATCTATATTACTCCTCCAAGGGTCAAGGAACATCACTGTAGAGAGCAGAGGGGTTAAAAAAAAAAAAAAAAAAAACAAAAGATGGGGAGGAACATTGTGAAATGCTACCCTCTGCACATGACACAACAGCTGCCCTCACTAAATGACAGCAGCAAATATGGACAGAAAAGGGGCTCATAGGACCCCACCCATCCCTGAGGAGCTATTGGCTGGGGAAGGAGCATGCATTTCTTTAGTAGAATAATCACTAATAAGTTACCCAATCAACCCTAATTAAACTCAATGGGTAATACCAAAACTAAAAAAGAAGACCATAAAAGGAGCTTGTTGAGAAAAACAAAGCTTTCTGTGGACGTGGGACAAGATAATGGGGCCAGGAAGATAAGTATGTCAAAATGTACTATTTACATATGTGAAATTGTTAAAGATAATTTCTCTGTTTTTTAAAGTTAATAATAGCTCACAGCTTTAATCCCAGCCCAGGATTTGGAAGAAGAAAGAAGATATGTGAGGCCAACCTGGTTTATGTAGTAAACTCCAGGCCAGCCAGAGTTACTGTGTAAGACCCTGTCTCAACAACTGTGATTAGTTTGCTTTTTATCCACCCCTTCCCCCACCCTCACCCCAAGAAATGGTTTTTCTGTGTGGCCCTGGCTGTCCTGGAATTTGCTCTGTAGAGATCCATCTGCCTCTGCCTCCTGAGCACTAGGATTAAAGTTGAATTTTTATTGCTTTGGCAAGAAAAATGGCAGTGTTTTATGTTTTATAAATGTCTTTAATGATATCTTCCCTCTACCCTTCTTAGTAATGTGTCCCTGAAGTGAGTTTTCACCCCAGACAGGCTTCACAGAAAGTAATAGAGCAAGCTTCAGAGGATCGCTCAGTATAATGGGACTCACACAGGGTTATTAGTTCAGTGTTATCCTAATAAAATGTTGGCTAGGAATTACTATTAAGTATGTAGCACACTGATTTGTTAGGTACAATAATCTCTTAAGATCCAGACCTGGGGTGGCAGGTGCTAGAGAGATGGCTCAGAGGTTAAGAGCACTGTCTGCTCTCACAGAGGTCTTGAATTCAATTCCCAGGAACCACAGGGTGGCTCACAACCAACTATGAGATTTGGTGTCCTCCTCTGACATGCAGGCATATAGGCCAGAACACTGTCTACAAAAATCCTCAAAAATGAATGAATAAATGAATGAATAAATCTTAAAAAACGAGAGAGAGAGAGAGAGAGAGAGAGAGAGAGAGAGAGAGAGAAAACCAGTCCTGGTGGACACACCTGTAATCCCAGCACTCAGGATAACCATGAACCCGAGGCTAATCTGAGTAACAAACTTAGTGACTCTTCCTCTCCCTGCCTAACATTCCCAAAAAAGGTTATGGTTGTAAGCTGGGGGATAAAAAAGGGTTCTTTATTTTCTCTCAGAACTTAAATCAATACATATCAAAGCTGTAGCAGGTATGGATTAGAAGCACACTGAGTTTTATGGTCATAGGAGGTGGGGAGTCAAAAATCGGCATGTCATTGTGAGTGCAGAACCAGCCAAGTACTATTTGTGAGGTGCTGGAGACGCCTGCACAGGGCACTGTGTGTGATAGCTAAGTTTTCTCCCACTGATCTGCAGGCCCCCAGAAGACTTGCAGTGACTTCAACCAACCAGGGAGCACATATATTAAGAAGAGGAAGCACCTAGACTGAACATGTAGTCATGAATAGCAAAGGAACATATATGGGTTAGGTGCAAACAGTCTAGCACAGTACATAAAGGATTAAGTACCCCAGACTTTAGTACCTGGCAGAGTCCTGGCATCCGTCCTTCAAATACCAATGGCCAGTTACATTTAAATTATCAGTTCTAACCTCCTCTTCCCTGGCTGGCCTGGAACTCACTACATAGACCAGTCTGGCTTTGAACCAATTGAGATATGCCTGAGTGCTGGGACAGTTCTAACTTATATATATATAAGTTATATATACATACATACATACATATATATGTATGTATAAAAGTGTACAGGAGAGGCTACACCTAAAGTTTATTCACTGCTTTAAAACAAGTGTAGAGAGCTGATGAGATGACCTGGCCACACAAGCCTCGCCACCTGAAATTTGACCCTCTAAATCCACACTGTAGAAAGATAATGAACTCCTGAGCAAAACACACACACACACACACACACACACACACACACACACACACACACACACACACACAGTTTTTCTCTACAAAACACAGTAAAACACTATCACCTCCCTCAATTTGGATTCCATACATTGTTCTAACTGGTATACATTAGTTTTGGCATATAGCAGACACGCCAAAAAAAAAAAAAAAAAAAAAAAAAAACACCACTTGTTTGACTGTTACAATTTAACAAAATATTTGTACTAAGACAGCAGTGGGTTTTTTTTACAAGTTAACTGCCCAAGTAAAAGTCAAATGAATTTTAAACTACTCCATATATGGAACTGTTTAAAATCACTAATCAACCAAACAAAAAATATTAACTTCAATGTCACTGCAGAAATGGAGCAGTTTTAAAAGTGTCATGTCTAGTTTCTCCAAAACAAGTCTTGCTACCATTCAAATCCTCTTAGGAATACTGTCTTCAGTCTATGGCAGGACTTGGGCACTAAATCATACTTAATCATCCCAATACCGTAATAATCCATCAAAGCAATGATTTGAAGTGGCAATTATTCTCAATGGCTAGCTATCTAGAATATAGAAAGAACAATTAAGCAAGCCCAACATCATTCCCTGTCATAAAGCCTTAACTTGTAGGGTATAGTCCAATCCTGCTTATGTCTTCAAAGGTAGGTCAAAGAACCCCATCCCTGACAAATATTGGGCTAAGCTGGGCTTCTTCCTCAGGATCAGTACCATCACTCAAGATTTATTGGGGATAAGTTTTGATAACCAACTTTGGTCATTTCCCATAACCACCACCACCTTTACATGGAGAGAAATGCCTTCCAGTCTTTAAATTTAAATCTATTTTATTATTATTGTGTTTATTGTGGGTACGCCACAAAGTGTGTGGAGACCAGAGGACAGCAGAGTCAGTTCTTGTCCTTTCCATGAAAGGGATGATGAACTCAGCTCATCTGGCATGTGAAACAAGCACTGTTACCCACTGAGCCATCACCTGCTCCTGCTCCCTGTTTTTATAATCTTCACTTTCAAGTAGTGACCAGATTTGCCCACCTGTCTAAAACAACAAGAAAGACAAAATACATAATGACTTTAAAAAATGAACATCAGGCAAATGAAGAAAACTGGTAACTGAGCATTGTGAAGCTAACACACCATACTCTATCTACACTTGCTCCAGTTTACTGAAAACAGACAGATCTGGAAACTCAACAGTGTCCAGCAGTTCCTAAACTGTAAGGCTGGGGAGTTAAGTTATGTCACCAGAAGACTTATACACAAATAAAGAGCAATGCTGAGCATGGTGGCTAGCCAACCTATAAACACAGAAGCTGGAAAGTGGTAGCAGGATAATCAGAGTTCAAGGGCTGCCTCAGCCACATGGAATTCCAGGCCAGAATATGCTACAAGAGACCCTGTCTTAAAAACAAAGCAAGGGAAGAAAGAAATGAGGGAAAGGAAAAGATCTAAAAGAGGGTCCCTAGTCTTATTTGATTTTTTTTTTTTTCCTGATAAGGTCTCACGAGGAATGCAGACCAGACTGGCTGCCTGTGTGCTGGGATTAAAGGTGTTCACCACCAAACCTAACACCACTCCCAACCCAGTATTCAGTTGAGTACTATTGATCAACACTTGCCAAGATATTGTCAGTACCAGAACCCTACCCGCCCACATATTCTCTCATTTTCTATTTTTCCATGGGTCCTGCTGTGTAGAGATGCCTGACCTCATACTCAGATGTGTAATCCAAGCTAGCTGGAATTCATGGCAATCTTTTTATAGCTCAGCCTCAAAAGTACTGGGATTATAGAAATGAACCAGCATGCCCAGGTGGAATTGCCATAAAAACTAATTATTTTCATTGGGCTCACATACTATTTAAAATTTTCTCTAAATGTATAAGTTGACCTTAGTCTAGCATTAAATATATTCCCAAAATCTTGAACAGTTAAAGTATATCAAAGAATACTCCATTATTTTTGAGCTGTATGGTAATTTACTGGGTAGGACAACCTACTTAAATATTCCTCAATAATCACTGTCTATATTACATTGCAGCTCATTATACAAAAATTACTTCTCTACATGCCAACTTTTTCTTTTCTTCTTCTTCTTTTTTTTTTTTTTGAGACAGGTTTTCTTTGTATTGCTTTGGGGCCTGTCCTGGAACTAGCTCTGTAGACCAGGCTGGCCTTGAACTCACAGAGATCTACCTGCCTCTGCCTCCCAAATGCTGGGATTAAAGGCATATGCCACCAACACC